ACAACAACACCAACAACAACAACACAACAACAACACAACAACAACAACAACACAACAACAACATCAACACAACAACACAACAACACAACAACAACATCAACACAACAACAACAACACAACAACAACAACACAACAACAACACAACAACAACACAACAACACAACAACACAACAACACAACAACACAACAACAGCACAACAACAACAACACAACAACAACACAACAACACAACAACACAACAATGCAACAACAACATCAACACAACAACACAACAACAGCACAACAACAACACAACAACAACACAACAACACATCAACACAACAACACAACAACACAACAACAACACAACAACAACAACAACACCACCACAACACAACAACATCAACACAACAACACAACAACAACAACAACAACACCACAACAACAACACAACAACACAACACAACAACAACATCAACACAACAACACAACAACAACAGCACAACAACAACACAACAACAACACAACAACACAAACAACAACAATAACACAACAACAACACACACACAACAACACAACAACCAACAACACACAACAACGCAACACGCAACAACAACATCAACACAACAACACAACAACAACAGCACAACAACAACACAACAACAACACAACAACACAACAACAACACAACAACACAACAATAACACAACACAACACAACAACAACAACACAACAACAACAACCATTTGCATTCATTGATACTATTATTATTAATATCATTAATATTATTGTTAATATAATATTATATAATAATCGTCACTAGTGTTGATTCGACTATTATTATCATTATATTATTTTATTATTCTTATTATTGAATTATTATCATTATTAATATAATTCATTTTATTACAATTATTATTAATATTAGTGTTATTGTTATTATTATTGATATTTTCATTAATATTATTATTTGTATTATCATCATGATTATTAAATTATCATTATATTATTATCAATATTATTATTATTATTATCATTATTAATATTTTTATTATTAATAATATTATTATCATTAATATTTATATCATTATCAATACTATTATTATCATTATTATTGTCATTATTAATATTGTTGTTATTAATATTATTATCATTATTAATATTAATATTATTATAATCATTAATACCGTCATTATTATTATTGGTATTATTATTATTAATATTATTATTATCATTATTAATATCTATATCATCGTCATTATTAATATAATTGTAATTATTATTAATTATCATTATTAATAATACGATAATAATATTATTAATATTACAATAATATTAACAATATTAATAAGTATATAATAATATTATTAATATTATTGTCATTAATATTCTCATTATTAATATTATTATTTTCAAGATTATTATTGTCACCATTATTAATATTATCATTATTATTGATATTATTAATATTATTATCAGTATTTATATCATTATTAATATTATTATTATTAACATTAATATTATTAATATTATTATCATTAATATCGTCATTATTAGCACTATTATTCTCAATATTATTATGGTCGGTATTATTACTATTACTATTATTATTATTAATGTTAATATTATAATTATTATTATTATTATTATTAATATTTGTAGCCAAAACCCACTCGGGGGCGAATGCGTATCCACTCTCTGGAGAACGTGGACAAAGCCCTACAATTCCTGAAGGAGCAGAAGGTCCATTTGGAGAACGTGGGATCCCACGACATTGTGGACGGGAATCACAGACTGACCCTCGGCCTCATATGGACCATCATCCTCCGGTTTCAGGTCAGTGCCGCCCGGAAGCACAGGGACAGGAGGAGGCCCTTCAGCCCCTCCAGCCGGTTCCGCCAATCTATTAGATCAGGGCTGATCTGTACCTCAGGTCCAGTTGCCCCCCCACCCCCTCCCCACACCCCCCCCCCCGTACCCCTTAATAATAATAATAATAATAATAATAATAATAATAATAATAATAATAATAATAATAATAATAATCATAATCATAATCATAATAATAATAATCCAGCGCCGAGACGTCTCAAAACGCTTTGCGGGACACACTGTAAAGTGTAGTGACTGTGTGTTTTGTGGGCGATCGCGGGGTTAGACCCCTCGCCTTCACCCCACAGCCCCTGTAGCTCAGGGGTCAGACCCTCCCCTCGCGCCCCACAGCCCCTGTAGCTCAGGGGTTAGACCCCTCGCCTCGCAAGCCAGAGGACCCGGGTTCGATTCCCGGGCGGGTCAGGTCGGGGCGAAACCTTAGGCAAGTTTCCTTCTGACACACAGACAGACACACGCACACGCGGCTCTGTTTACTGAGCAGTAAGTAGGAACCCGGTTGTTAGTTGATTTGGGGACCGCCTTCGGGGGTTAATAATCGCGTCCTCGAAATGTCTGAAAAGTTGCCTCACAGAATTTACTGCGGAGCGAATCGACTGTGTGTATTTGTGGGCGAAACGCGGCAGCCAATTGCGCACAGCAGCGTCCCCACAAACACTCGTGGGCTGAGTGACCAGACCAGTAGGTTTCTTTTTTAAAAGGGATTATTAACCCCCGGAAAGAGATCCACCCAATCTTACAGTTTAGACCGATCCCATGTTTAGTGGAGCCGGTGCATAAGTGCCAGGACATTTGGTGTGGCCCCACAGTCACTACGCTTCACAGTGTATCCTGTGAAGCACTTGTAGTCTTCTCGACCACGTGTTAAGTCTCTGTATTAAATGCAGGATTATTATTGTTGTTGTTGTTATGATAAGAGGCTTTCTGGCTTTTGGAAGAGAATTTATTCCACGTTGAGCTGAAAAGTGACATGTCTTGGATCCATCATAAACGGGGATGAATTGCTCGGGCTAAATTGGTGCGTGGAGACATCAACCTTTCCCCCCACCTCCCCTCAACCCCACCAACCCTCCCCCCACCCCCCTCCCCCTCTCACCCCCAGGGAGAAAAACCTCCTGGAAGAACCTCAATAAATAGCATTTTATCACAACTTTCTCATCAGCGCTGACTGAAGCCATCTGCTCTCTCAGCCCATTCACTGACCCCAACCCCCAACCAACCAACCAAGCCTCCCCCCCTCCCCTCCCCTCCTCCCCTCGTAATACCAGCAGGTCTCTCCGCCTGCTGTGTAGCCACTGGCTCTTATCTTGATCTAACCCTTACCCTAACCCTCTCGGTCCTAAAAATCCTCTCCTCTAAAGGTCTGAAAGTGTTTTGCCTGCGGTGAGGGATTTACTGTAAATCCGTGCATGGATACGGTGCCTTATCACGTCAGTTGAGACGTCTCAAAGCGCGTCACAGGGGCAATAATAATCCCATCCTCTTCCGCCCCCCACCCCCCCCCAAAAACATAATAATAATAATAATTTGGTCACTCAATCCACAACTGTTTGTGTGGGACACTGCTGTGCGGCAATTGGCTGTCGGGTTTCACCTGCCAGGAGGGAGACGGAGAGTGTGGTGGGGGGATTGAGAATAAAACCACTTGCCCGTACTTCATCGTCCTGGGAGTGGGTTTTGTGGGGGGAGGGCGAGGCGAGGAGAGGGTGTGGGGGGGGGGTCTGAAGAGCGAGCCTCAGCAGATGCACAGATCAACGCCTATGCACTTGTCAGGGATCTGCCACGGGCCACATGGCTGTTTGTGGATAGCTGCGACTCGTGATATTATCAGCTCTCCGAGGACCTGCACAGCTGCAGAGATACAGTGGAATGCATTCTGCCTCCACCCGCCCTCCCCACCCTCCCACTCGCCCCCCCCCCGTCCCCGTCCCCCCACTGCCCCCTCCTGCCGTGTTGCTGGGTCGACCGTCTCCGTATCCGCTATCGCTTTCAGTCCTGACGTAAGTGTCGATAATAATTAATAATAATAATAATCCTGGCATTTGACCCGGCGCCTTATCACGTCATCGAGACGTCTCAAAGCGCTTCACGGGATAGGCTGTAAAGTGTAGTGACTGTGGGTTTCGTGGCGCCCACTCTCACACTCTGGCCAACCTGCACCTAATACTCTCCAGAATTAGGTAATCGGGGGCGGGGCGGGGGGGGGGGGGGGGGGGGTCCCTCCAGGGAGAGAGGGAGGGAGAGGGAGAGAGAGAGAGAGAGAGAGAGTGCATTCCATCCCGACAATCTCTCTCTGGGATTCCCAGGTGTAAGTGGGAGGCCTGGAATTCTCAGTTGGGTTTGGACCAAAGGCGACAGGTTTCCGCGCGTGTCAGACACCCCGATGACCCGTGTGTCTGTGTGTGTGTGTGTGTGTGCGTGTGTCTGTGTGTGTGTGTGTGTGTGCGCGCGCGTGTGTGTGCGTGTGCGCGTGAGAAAAATAAAACAGTCGTTAGATGAACGACTGACTTGAGGATTTCGAGCGAAAGCCGCGACATTTATTGGGATGCGAATGGTGATCGGGACAATCAGAACAATCCTCGCACGTAAACGCGGTACCTTTCCGTGTCGCCGTCGAGAGAGACAGAGAGAGAGAGTCGTCTCAGAGCGCGTCACGGAACGCGGCATCGGGCGAATCGACCACGTGGGTTTTGGTCGGCTGCCGCCTTTTCGCCCGCGCAACACGTGGGGTCGGGCGCTGTGTCGAATGCGACGGTTGTTGGGGCTGTCGTCGTCATCGTCACCTCCTCCTCCTCCTCGCGTCGGTCGGTCTTTCGAGACGGAGTCGGGAGGAAGAGGAGGAGGAGGAGGAGGAGGAAGAGGAGGAGGAGGCAGGGCGGGTGGGGGTGGGTGGGGAGGGGGGGGGTTGGGGGAGAGAGAAGTGGGATTATTGTGATGATTGTTAGTATTATCTCCTCGTGTTGGTCTTCCCCCTTCCCCCCCCCACCCCCTCCCCGCCCCCCCTCCCCCCACAGGCCTGTTGAAGATGCAGTGGACACAGGAGCATGCTCAGTGGCCCGAGCAGTACCTTGACGTCTCGTCCACGACCCCCTCCCCCGCTCACAAGACGGACGCCAACCGCCTCGCCCGGCAACGGCACCAATACCCTTGGGCCCACGATGACATCTCGGCCCTCACCGCCTCCAACCTCCTCAAGAAGTACGCGGAGAAGTACTCAGGGCTGGCTAACCCCGCCGCCTACGAGAGGTCCGACCTGAACCCCTACCCCCCGGAGGGGCTGTTCGGGCCCCCCCCCAACGGGCAGAAGATTGACGGAGACGGCTGGCAGATGTCCCTGAGTGCCGAAGGGACCTACTCGGTCAACGCCCTCCACGAGGACCTCAAGCCGGGCCCCGGCTCCTCCTCCGGCGGCGAGGGGGGGCTCGGGGGGGCTTCTTCCTCCTCTGTCACGGACCCCCGTTACCCCCCCAACCCCAACCCGTGCGGCCCCCCGCCCCCCTCCGCGGTCCCAGCGGAGTATTCCTCAGGTTACAACGGCAGTTACATGTCCCCCGGTTACTGTGGGCAGCCGGGACCCCCTCACCCACCCCCACTGCATACCCCGGGCCTCTTGCAGCCCGTCCACCCACCCCGACCCTCGCCCCGGGCTTCAACCCAGGTCCGATGTATACCTACCCGGCCAACAGCTACCCGACGCAACCCAACCTGGCTCCTGGCTACGTGGGCACTCACCCCACGGCCTCCTACTTGCCCTCGGGGATCGCGGCCCCCACCCCTCTGGCCCCTGCGTCTGCCAGGCCGCCCGTCCTGCCCGGCTACCCGTACCAAAGCCACCCCCTCCTGCCCGCCTCGCCCTCGACCTCCCCCTCGCCTGTCAGCAACGGGTCGGGCTCCCTGCTGAAGAGGAAGGCGTTTGAGATGAGTTCGGAGTTGGAGGAGGAGGAGGAGGTGGGGGGGGTTGTGGTGGTGGTGGGGGCGGGGGAGGGGGAGCGGCGGCGGGGAGGTGGGGGGAGGTACAAGCGGTACAGTTACGCACAGCCCCGTGTGCCCTCGGTCAACGCTTACCAGATGCCGGACGGTGGCGTGCCAGACGAGTTTGTACCGGGGGCCGGAGGCGGGGGGGCTGTGGGGAGGGTGGTGGTGGGGGGGGAGGAGGCGTTGATGAATGGGGAGAGAGCGGCGAGCGAGCACTTGCTCGGGCACCAGCTGCGACTGGCCAACGTGGAGACACTTGGAGAGCGTCCCACGCTGGAGGAGCAGCTGAAGGGCTTGGACCCGCGGCTCCTGGAGCTGGTGTCCAGCGAGATCGTGGACCGCGGGCCTCCCGTGCAGTGGGGGGACATCACCGGCCTGGGGGGGGCCAAGGCCGTGATCGAAGAGCAGGTCCTGTGGCCGCTCACCCGGCCGGGGGCGTACAGCGGGGTCAACCGGCCCCCCAAGAGCATCCTCCTGTTCGGCCCGCGAGGCGGGAGCAAGACCACGCTGACCCGATGCGTGGCCACCCAACTCGGGGCCACCTACCTCAAGATCGACGCCTCGTCCTTGGTGTCCAAGTGGAAGGGAGAAGCCGAGAAGATCCTGCAGGCCACTTTCCTAGTCGCACGTTCCGCCAGCCCTCCATCATCTTCGTCAATGAGCTGGAGGCCATCCTCTCGGCCGCCCCGGCCGGTCGGGACGAAGCCACGGCTGGTCAACTCCGGTCCTTACGGCCAAGTTCCTCGCCCAGCTGGAGGGGCTGGCCAACTCGAGCGGTGACCGGGTGCTGGTCATCGGGGGGACCCGGAGGCCGGACGACATGGAGGAGAGCGCCCGTCGGTACTTCCCCAAGCGCCTCTACATCTCCCCGCCCGACGGGCTGGCCAGGCGCCAAGTCCTGGGCTACAGTCTGGCCCAAGAGGACCACCGCCTGAGCGAGGCCGAGATCGACTCCATCGTCCAGCACACGGACGGCTACTCAGGAACGATCTGGTCCAGCTGTGCCACCAGGCCTCTTCCTCGGCCTCTTCCTCCTCCTCGTCCTCCTCCTCTTCCTCCTCAGCCTCCTCCTCGGCTCAGGCCCCCAGTCTGACCGGTCAGCTCCGGCCGCTCAGCTACAAAGACTTCGAGGTGGCCTTCCGCAAGGTGCGCCCCAGCGTCTCGCCCAAGGAATTGGAGCTCTACCTGCAGTGGAGCAAGTTGTTCGGGTCTTCTCCCCGGGAATAGAGAGGGGTGGGTGGGGTTGAGTGGGGTTCTGTGGGGTTGGGGGGGTGTTGGTGTGGAGAAGGGGGAGGGCAGGAGAGGAGAGAGGGAAAGAGGGATGATGGTGGAAGGAGAGGTTGGGGAGAATGGTGAGCCTGTGTGCGTATTTGTGTGTGTGTATTTGTGTGCGCGCGTGTGTGTGTGGGTCCGTGTGTGGGTGGGTGGGTGGGTGGGGGTGTGTGTATGGGTGGGGGTGGCAGGGAGTGGAGAGGGGTGAAGGTGGGGGAATATCCCAGGGAGAGAGAGAGAGAGGAGAGAGGGAGGGAGGGAGACAAAGAAGACTGGTACACACAAGCAACAGGAAAAAGTATTTGGGGGTGCGATCAGTTTAAGGAGCCCCCTCGCACCCAACCCCCTCCCCCACCCCACCCTCAACCACCACCCCCACCCCCCCACCCCCCAAGTCTTGATGCGTAATGCGAGTCAAACGGGGACCATCTGGAAAATCCACCGATATTTCCCCTCCGAGGTGTCAGTTTCAAAGGGGTTTGACCTGACTCGGGCTCTGGTGATGGTTCTGGTTATGAACCCCCTTCGGATTAACGAAATTGCCCATTTTTTGGGGGGGGCAGAAAGAGAGAGAGAGAGAGAGAGAGAGGAAACCGGTGATAAAAAGAGAATATTAAAATATTCCCCCCACGCCCCGGATCAGTCAAACCCCAGGTTCGCTCCCGACCGAGTTTAAGGTTAAATTAACGCTCAGAATTATTCGACTATTTATTTTGCTCCCGTCGAGTGTTTTTTTTTCTTTCTTTCTGTGTGTGTGCGTGTGCGTGTGCGCGTGCGTGTTTTTTTGTGTTTTTCCCTTTCCCCCCCCCCCCACCAAAAAAAAGAGGGACACGGGGGAACGGTTTTAAATACCTCTTTAAATGTCGTGCGCGTGTTTTTGTTCGGGTTCCGGACGGATGGATGAGTTTCACGACCTCGCTTCCAAGAACTCAGGAAAAAAAAAGGAAGGAAGGAAGGAAGGAAGAAACCGTATTAATTATTTACCTCAAAAAGAATGTGTGACGGATGCTTTTTTGGAAACGGGTCGTTCATATGATACAAATCGGGTTGTTTTTTTTTTTAACGAGAAGGTAAAATAAAACAGTCGGAACGTCGAAACATTGGGGAGTTCGAAGGGCGATCGGTACCTCGAAACCGCTCGATCGCAAATCCGATGCCTTTTGGGGAATGTTTTATCACCTCCGTGTGGTATAAATCTCTTTACATTTCCATTAACGCCCCCCACCCCCACCCCCCCCAAAAAAAAACAACCAAACCCCCCCCACCCCACCCCACCCCCCTCCCCTGTAGCTGGAGAGTCATTACTGTGTGTTTTACCTCAAACAACCTCACAGGTGTCTCGGAGATTGACTGTGAATGTATTTCCAGTTCCCCAGAAAACATTGTGGGGTTCTTTTTTTTAGGTGGTGGCGTGAGATTATTCCCTTCTCCTTCATTCAGCCCCCAACCCCCCCAACCCCACTCCCGCCCCCCCCCCCCCCAATCTCCCTTTCCCCCTCTCATCTTCCTCCCCACACACCCACCCGCCCCACTTTTCAGAACATGTTACTCTCAGGAAGTGCTACTCTTTCGATCATCTCGGAGATTGGACTCGTCAGGTTTTGGAGTCCTCTCTTCTGGAGTCCCGTTTCCCCCCCCCCACCCACCCCCACTCCACTCCCCCACTATAGCTCAGGGGTTAGACCCCCCCCCCTCGCCTGGCAAGCCAGAGGGACAGGACAGGGCGAAACCTTAGGCAAGTTTCCTTACTCCACACACGCACACACGCCCCCTTCCTCCCCGCCTCCGTCACTCCCCCCCCCCCCCCCCCCGCCCCACACCCGCCCCCCAAAAGAAATCTGAATTTGATTGAACTGTTATCTGTAAAATTTGGTTTTATCTCTTAAGGCTTCACCCCCGAATACGGCCAATGGCCTCGCGATGACCCTTCGCAAATGTTGTCCAATTGATGATGTGTGATTTAGTGTCCGTTAGAAGCACTTATTGATGATCCCCTCCCCTCATTGTAAGAGCACTTTCCTCTTCAAGTCCCACCTGCATCGAGTCCCAGGAGCTCAGGGGTTAGAGCCCTCGCCTCGCAAGCCAGAGGCCCGGGTTCGATTCCCGGGCGGGTCAAGTCAGGGCGAAACCTTAGGCAAGTTTCCTTACTCTCCCCCACCCCCCCCCCCCACCCCACCAACCACACACACACACCCCCCCCACACACACACACCTCTATTTACCAGCAGTAAGTAAGAACCCGGTTGTTAAGTCGATTGGCTGCCGCGTTTGGCCCTCAGTCACTACACTTGGCAGTGCATCCTGTGAAGCGATTTGAGACGTCTCGAAGACGTGATGAGGCGCTGTATCAAATGCAAAGATTATTATTATTATTATGATGATTAATTTCACCCCAGGACTGCTAAATAGAATGTTTTGTGAGATTTTGGGGGAGTTCTACCTACATTGGAGACTCATGTCTTTTGGAAGGGAATCCACCCATTCCCTCTCCCTCGTGAGTAAGGTCCTTCTCCTTCTCCTTCTCCTACCTACCTCACCCCCAACCCCTTTCCTCAACACCCCTCCCTCCTATATTGTCGCTCTTATGTTGTACATCTCAACACCTGGTTATATCTGAAGTCTTTGTGACAATCTAGGGTGGGGGGTGGGGGGGGGGGGGGCGGTGAGATAGGTTCAGAGCACACAAGTCACTCTACTTTAGATTAAAAAATAATCCTGTGAAGTGCTTTGTCAAATCAAACGCAACGTTCACACAATCACAATATTGGGGTTTGGATGAACAAGACCCTTCGGCCCATCTGATCTCATCACCTCCACAAGCCCCCTACCCCACCTGGCCCTACCCTACCCCACCTGGCCCTACCCTACCCCACCTGGCCCTACCCTACCCCACCTGGCCCTACCCTACCCTACCTGGCCCTACCCTACCCCATCTGGCCCTACCCTACCCCACCTTGCCCTACCCTACCCCACCTGGGCCTACCCTACCCCACCTGGCCCTACCCTACCCCACCTGGCCCTACCCTACCCCACCTGGCCCTACCCTACCCCACCTGGCCCTACCCTACCCCACCTTGCCCTACCCTACCCCACCTTGCCCTACCCTACCCCATCTGGCCCTACCCTACCCCACCTTGCCCTACCCTACCCCACCTTGCCCTACCCTACCCCATCTGGCCCTACCCTACCCCACCTGGCCCTACCCTACCCCACCTTGCCCTACCCTACCGTCCCCGTCCCACCCCCTCCACCCATCACAGCATCAAACTGCTTTCTGAACAAATAACTAACTTGACTTGAGGACACAATCCAAGTCTCTCACTTACTTGAAACCTTAGGCAAGTTCCCTGATTACACACACACACACACACACACACAGACACACACACACACACACAGACACACTCACACACCCACACACAGACAGACAAACACACAGACAGACACCCACACCCCCACACACACAGACAGACACCCACACCCCCACACACAGACAGACACACGCGCGCACACACACACACGCCTCTGTTTACCAGCAGTAAGTCGGAACCCGGATGTTAGTCGATTGGTGGATCGCTTTTCCAGGGGGTAATAAATAACCCCTTCCTAAGTAAATAAATAAATGAAAAACGTATTAATTTGGTTACTCGATCCACAGCTGTTTGACGGGTGAATGCTGTGTGCAAATCGGCTGCCCACAAAATGCACAGTCGATCCACTTTACAGTACATTCTGCGAAGGGCTTTGAGACGTCTCGAAAAGACATGATAAGGCGCTGTATCAAATTATGATTATTATTATTATTATTATTATTTTTACTCCACAATTTGTCCACCAAGTTTTTTCTATTGATCCAAAAAGTGGTGCTTCCCTTTGTGAAAGCTTTATTCTTGCTATTTCTGATTTTACACGATAACCATTTCTACCTCAGCAGTTTGTGTATGTATTTCACATGAAGTATTTATTTCATGTCTTTTTAAATAAATGTCATGTTTTAAAAGAAGTTTTAAGAATCGGAGAGAGAGAGAGATTAAAAAAATAAAGAAAGTTCTTGATCTGCAAAGTGGTCTACCTCAAAGCTAAGTGACTGTATTTCGAAGCAGTGGAAACAGTATTAAAGAGATTACATGAATTGACGTGTGCTTTTCTGTGTCTTTATCTGTCTGAGCTCCTCTCTTCTCCTTTCCTCCACACCCTCTATTTCCGTTGCCGTTCCACCGTCAATCACCAAAATCCTCAGCCAAGACTCCCCTAAAACCTCTGGTGGTGTAAATTCCCAGTGAGATTTTTTGGGGGAGGGAGTGGGGGTATGGGGGGGGGGGGGACGATGGGGAAGCAGATCCGATGGTAGCTTTCAAAAGCGAGTTGGATAGGGACTTGGAAAGGAAAGGAAAATTGTGCAGGGCTTTGGGGGTAAGAGCAGGGTGAGTGAGTGGGATTAGTTGGGGTAAGAGCGGGGGAGCGGGTGGGACTAGTTGGGGTAAAGCGGGGGAGCGGGTGGGACTAGTTGGGGTAAGAGCGGGGGAGTGAGTGGGACTAGTTGGGGTAAGAGCGGGGGAGCGGGTGGGACTAGTTGGGGTAAGAGCGGGGGAGTGAGTGGGACTAGTTGGGGTAAGAGCGGGGGAGCGGGTGGGACTAGTTGGTGGCTCTTCCAAAGAACTGGCACAGGCCCAATGGGCCGAATGGCCTCCTTCTGCTGTAAGATTCTATGAATTGGGACAATTGGTGGCTTTAAAGAGCGATAGGAAACCTTTACACATCAGGAACTCATTTGTGTTCAAAGCCTCCAGGCGGAGAGTGGGGGAGGGAGGGGGGGGGGGAAAGAGAGAGGTAGAGATGGGTGGTGGAGGGGGTGGGGGTGGGGGGGTTGGGCAGGTCCTCGCTTGCATTTTTAAACCTCCAAACAATCCATTGACTTCCCCTTTAAGACTGTCAGGTATCCTGACCGAACACAGACAAAAGCCTGAAGAACTTTACGAGAATCCCGAGGTATGAATTTTCCGAATAGTTGCAATAGTTTTTGCCGGGGAATGGGATGACTGTTTCCTTGTGACTGGCAGCAGTGAGTCACGGAGTGGGTGGGTTGGGGAGTGGGGGGGGAAATGTTAGAGGGAAGTGTAGAGGGTAGGGAGCGGGGGGTGGGGGGAGGTGACTGTAGTCATTGGTCAAAGAGGATGGTCTAAAAATATATATATATAATTATTGTGTACAGTGGAAGCTGTTTAAGATGAACACGTCATGACCAAACACACGTATAATTATCTACATTAATAATAATTATTATTACTATGTTTTTATTTGTATTATTAGAGTAGGAGTCCAGCAAATGGCCAGAGCTGGAGTTGGGGCAATCAGAAAGGCTTTACGAGCTGGAGCCAGGGTTGATATGAGGCCCGCTGTGTAACAGCTCGGAGGATTAAAGCCAGATGCCCAGGCCTGTTTTTCCACCATTAATGAAGTTCTTCTTTCTCTCTCCCTCTCTTTCTTTCTCTCTCTCTCTCTCTCTCTCTCTCCATCTCTCTCTTTCTCCCCCTCCTAATTCCTTCGAAATAAATGCAAATAACTACTGTTTGCGGGACGCTGCTGTGCGCAATTGGATGCCTGTCGGGACGTCAAGTCCTGGATGCTCTCAGCATCTCCCGGAGACAATAATGGAACCTCAGCGTCCTGTTCGACCCTCAACTGTCCTTCATCCCCCACATCCATGACCCGCTCCGCCTTCCCCCAACCTCCACAACATCGCCCGGCACCTCCACTGTCTCACCCCGCAGGTCACCCAGGCCCTCACACACGCCTTCATTACTACGCAAACTCCCTCCTCCCTCCACAGGCTGCAGATCATCCAGAACTCTGCAGCCCGTGTCCTCTCCCGGCACCGGGCTCAGCGACCCCATCACCCCCATCCTCGCCCGACTGCACTGGTTTCCCATCACACAGAGGAGACAGTTCACGATCCTGGTCCTCACCTTCAAAGCCCCGGCAGCAGTGAGTCGCGGAGAGGGTGGGAGGGTTTGGGAAGGAGGTGGAGGGAATGTATTTTTATTATAATCTTTTATCTATAAATGGGCGAAACGCGGCAGCCAATTGCACACAGTGTCCCACAGACCCTCGTGGAATGAGTGACCGAGTAAGTTTTTTATTATGAAGTCCCTCATCAAGTGATTGAGATCTTGAAACGTTGTGAGATGATGATAACAGCAGCAACTCACACTCTGAATAATTGGTAAGTGGGGCACAGGTTAGCGCAATGCTTTGTCTACAAATCGATGTTGATTTGAATCAATCCTCACCTTTGGCTGGGATATTGATCAACGATTTATACACTAAATGCTTTTTGTATTCGGTTTATGGGGTCAATGAAGCACACTGCAACATTTATGTGGAGTTCCCTGTGGCTCAGGGGTTAGAGCCCCCTCGCCTCGCGAGCCAGAGGACCCGGGTTCGATCCCCGGGCGGGACAGGACAGGGCGAAACCTCAGGCAAGTCTCCTTACTCCACACACACACACCTCTGTTTACCAGCAGTAAGTAGGAACCCAGTTGTGTTAGTCGATTGCTCTCGACTCTAACCTGCCCTCCCCCCCCCCCCCTCCCCACTCAGCGAGAGAGCGAGAGAGCGAGCCAGGACATTGCTGGAGTCTGAAAGCAGCTATTGTTCCTCTGGCAGCTGCTCAATGGTGCAGTTGGTCGGAGGAATTCAAAGGGGCCGAGCGATGGGGCGAGGCTGGGCTCTGGGTTTAACAACATCAGCAACTGAATCAACAGCTCATGGGAGAGAGGGGTACCTGGTGGTTAAACTCTCCTCTCCCCGCGCTCAGTCCCTGCGAGAGAAACCCGCTTCTCTGCGCTCTCTCTCTCTCTCTCTCTGCCGCTCTCCCACACAAACAACTCCACTCACGCACTATCGTGGCGATCCTCATTTGCGCTATTCCGTAACCAGTTTCCCAACGATTGCACGCGGCAATGTGCAGCCCCTGCGGCTGAGTGCGAACAGCCCTCGCCTCGCAAGCTGGTTCGATTCCCAGGCGGCACAGGTCGGGACGTTAAACCTTGGGCAAGTTTCCTTACTCCACACACATACACACACACACACACACACACACCCAGGCAGTCAACAGTCGACAGGAACGCGCTTGTTAGTCGATTGGGCAGTCTGCAGTATCCCGGCCCGGCCCGGCTCAGCCATCGGCAGGACCTGGAAGGGCCGACCGACCGGACACTGGGGGCAGGGAATCCTCCCCCTCAGCTCCTGTTAAGCTTTTTAATGAGACTCAACTCAACTCAACTCAACCCACAGCCTCAAACTCGGAGATGTTTGAGATTTCCTTTGAAAATAGCGTCATCTAGTGTTGAAACATCAATGACCCACTCAACACTTCACTGATATAAATATACTTGGTCTCACACTCTCATTCTCTCTCCCAATTCCCCCACCCCACCGCCCCCCGACTCCTCTCTCTCTCTCCCCCTGTCATATAATATCATATAATAATGATCCTGATTGAAGGCGCTGCGTGAAATGCAAGGATTATTTATTTATTTTCATTATAATTATTATTATTATTGTATCAGCCCACCCCAGCTCAGCTCAGCCCAGGCCAGGCCAGGCCAGGCCAACTCAGCCCAGCTCAGATCAGCTCAGCCCAGCTCAGCTCAGCTCAGCTCAGCCCAGGCCAGGCCAACTCAGATCAGCTCAGCCCAGCTCAGCTCAGCCCAGGCCAGGCCAGGCCAGGCCAGGCCAGGCCAGGCCAGGCCAACTCAGATCAGCTCAGCCCAGCTCAGCTCAGCCCAGCCCAGCTGAGTTGCCCCACAACTGAATCATCGCTTGGCGTTCCCTTTGGCAACCCCGATTCTCCGTTTCCATCGTGTGAAGAGAAGGGTTGATGGAGGGAGGAGAGTCGCATTCCTCCGCTCAAACCGCAGAGCGTGAAAGTTGTGCGCTCGCTGGGCTGTGTACGTGTGGTAACCTCCGAGACACCGAGATCTGTCTGGCTCCCCCATTACTGCGCGAAGCTGTTTCCCAAGACATGGGTGCCGTTTTCCGTCGGGTGAGATGCCAGGAAGCCCGGCAAGTCTTCTTTCATCTGCAACAGGAGGAACAAGAACAAAGGTTTACAAATAATCCTTCGGATCCTTGCATTTGATACAGCGCCTGATCACGTCTTCGAGACGTCTCAAAGCGCTTCACAGACCAACACTGTTTCTATTCACTTGCCAGGTAAGCAGAGGTGTGTGTGTGTGTGTGTGTGTGTGTGGTAGTGTAAGGAAACTTGCCCAACATTTCGCCCTGTCCTGTCTCGGGCTGGGAATTGAACCCAGGTCCTCTCTGTTGCGAGGCGAGGGGTCTAACCACTGAGGACTCCAAGATTACGGCAACTACATACACTGGGCAGTCAGGGATTTGGACCCGAGCTGAGGGTTGGGATCAAGAAAGGGGGGGTGGGTGGGGAGGGGAACCGGGGAGGGGCAGGCCCTGGGGGGGTAGGAGGGTGACCGAAGGAAGGCGGGGTTGAAGAGGAGGGTCTTGAAATGTGCCTTGAAGGAGACGAACGGTTAGATCGCTCGCTCTTGTTGCATCCAATAAAGTTATGGTTGTGGGTTGGGTTGACTTTTCAATCCCAACTGGAATCTTTACGGAGATTTTGCTCGGGTTTATTTTGCTGTCAAGTTATTGGTAGCATTCAAATGAGCGGGTCAGTCAAGCAAATGCTCCACCATAGACCAAGACAGACACAGATACAGGGGTCCAAACCCAAACCCTAACCGCTCACACCCCCTCCAAGGAGGATAGTCGGAGTGAGAGAGAGAGAGAGAGAGAGAGAGAGAGAGAGCTATGGAGACGGGAGAGAGAGGACCTTACCCTGTATAGATCATTGGAATGCCAGTGCTCCCGGTTGCTTGGGCGAAGGTGGGGATAGTCTCTAGAGAGGAATGGCGAGGCTGAGGGCAACACCGAGGCCGGGTGCCCTGGGGGGTGAGGAGCCAGTGGGCGCCCGAAAACCAGGAACGCCCCCCCGTTTTGCTGGGCTCCCAGGAGACAGTCTGTTCGTCCCAGAGTCTTGGGGAGTCCATGGAGGCCGTGGGGAGTTGGTGCTCCTCCGCCCCACGCAGGGGGTCCGACGGTGGCGAGGGTCCCTGCGAAGGGCGGTGTGTCGCTTGGGGGTTGCAGCCTGCAGTTGCGGGGGGCGGGGTAAGTGTCAGGGCCAAGGGTCTCGGGGGCCGGGTGGTGGGGCTGGAACCCGCAGAATCGCACCCCCACTTCGCCGTTAAGGCGCTCATTGGCCTTCGCGGCTGCCTGGTGCTGCTGCTGCTGCTGCTGCATGCGCTGGAGCTCCTGCTCCTGCATGCACGGGTGCCGCAAGGGTTCCTGGCTGGCCCAGGGACAGCCCGAATGCAACGGCAGGCGTTGGTGTTGGTGTTGGCGGGCAACCTCCCGCTGGCGACGGCTGCGTTGGTGTTCACAAGGTGGTGACGGAGCTGCCTGGGCGGCGAAACAAGGGCGAGGGAGGGGAGGCGGAGTGAGGGCCGGGGCTGGGGCAAGCTTGCCCCCGCCCACCCGCCAACCCGACTCCGAGAGAGGCGAGCCCACAACGGCCAGTGGGCAAAGCCCCCCGCCTGGGTGGTGGTGGTCTGTCGCTGGCCGCTCCCTCGAGACCAGGGAGCTTTGCACGTAAGACAGCACCTGGTCGTTGGTGAGGAGGTCGTTGAGAGGGAACCCGGCGTCCATCTCCATGGTCAAGGTCCTCTCCACCCACTGCATCAGCTCCAAGTCCTCCGGCCCCAGCCCCTCCAGCACGCTGGGTATCTCCTTGTCTCCCTCCCCGAGGTCGGTCTTGAGGACCTCGTCCAGAATGGACAACAGGTCTTCCTCCTGCTTGCAGTTGGTGCTGATCTCCTCCTCTTCAGCCTCTCCGTGCGGGAGACCCTCAAGACCATCCCCGCCCGCCCAAAGCCCAACTCCAGCCCCAGCCGTCCTGTCCAGGGTGAGCCTAGGCTGGCGTGGCGCCAGGTGGCTGATGTAAACGGACTCGTCCTGGCTCATCACGACTCCCAACAGAGAGTTGGGGTCGAGCCTCTCGCTTTGCTCCAGTTTGTCAGCGCCCAACGGGTGAGGGTTGGCGAAGGAGGTCAAGGGGGAGCTGGTGCCGTACAGCGCTGCGTCTGCGTTGGTGAAGGTCAGAGGGAATGCCAGGCTCCGCTTGGCAAAGTGATCGGCACCTTCTCTCTCCCTGCAGTTGGGGAAAAAGAACACGGTCAGAATCCTTAATAGTCGTCATCGTCATCATCATCATCATCATAATGATAACAATAATAATGACAATAATACTAATCGGGGCATTCGATACAGCGCCTCATCACGTCGTCAACACGTCTCAAAGCGCTCCACGGGATATATCATGAAGTGTAGTGACTGTGCTTTTTTGTGAGCCTTTTTTTTGACATTGGAAAAAAAAATTGAAATCGAAATTATTATTATTATTATTTTTGTTGTTGAAAATCAATTTGTTGTGGTTGTGGGTGTCGGTGTGGGTGTCGGTGCGGGTGTCGGTGCGGGTGTGGGTGTGTGCGGGTGTGGGGGGGGGGGGGGGGGGGGGGGGGTCGGTGTGGGTGGGAGTGTGGGGGTGGGTGTCGGTGTGGTTGTGTGCGGGAGTGTGTGGGTGTGGGTGTATGTGGGTGCGGGTGTGGTGTGGGTGGGGGTGTGGGGGTGGGTGTCGGTGTGGTTGTGTGCGGGAGTGTGTGGGTGTGGGTGTCGGTGTGGGTGGGGGTGTGGGGGTGGGTGTGGGGTGCGGGAGTGTGTGGGTGTGGGTGTCGGTATGGGTGGGGGGGTGTCAGTGTGGGTGGGGGTGTGTGTGTGGGTGTCGGTGTGGCTTACGTCAGGAGTCTCTGTTTGGCGATGATAGAATCCGGTTTCCCGTTCTTATAAACCAACCGGGCGTTGGATTGGACCCAAACCCATTCGTTCCATTTGGTCAGAAGTCGGAAAATTGTCAACCCAGTCTCCCCGGTCTTCATCACTGCAACAGGAAGTCAAAGGAATCATCATCATCATCATCATCATCACCAGAGAATGATGATGAGGCACCATCCCAATCGCCGAATGGTTCGATTTCAAGATCCTCACACACTCGTCTCTAAATCCCTTCACACCCTGACACCTCCCTCCCTCCCTCTCCGACCTGCTTACCCTTCACTTCCCCCCCCCCCCACCAGCCCACAACTCTCCCCCTCCCCCCACTCCACCACCCGGTCGTGCGTTATCCCTATCCCCTCCCTCCCTCCCTATCCCCTCCCTCCCTCCCTATCCCCTCCCTCCCTCCCTATCCCCTTCCTCCCTCCCTATCCCCTCCCTCCCTCCCTATCCCCTCCCTCCCTCCCTATCCCCTCCCTCCCTCCCTATCCCCTCCCTCCCTCCCTATCCTCTCCCTCCCTCCCTCTCCCCCTGGCTCAGGGTCAGACTCCGACACCATCAAGCACTCCAGGATACTATCCCACGTGAAGGGGGCGCTGTGTAAAATGCAAGTTGTTGTTTCGTTTCCCCCCCCACAAGGGAAAATGGAGAGACACTGGGATGGCACCCACCACCTGCTACCCTCACTGGCAACTGAGCCAGGCAGAGAGGTGAATGACTGGCTCGCGGGGAAGCCTGGCACTTACACCGGACGTGCATGTCAGCACAGTAAAGCATGTCAGCCGCATGGACAAACTGATACCCCGAGCCTCGCATACACAGCTCCATCTCCGTGTAGCCCAGCACCATCTTTGCCCTGTAATAATAATCAATAATCAGTAATAATCAATCATCCATAATAACCAACAATAATCAATATTAATAGCCAATACAACAATAATAATCCTGGCATTTGACCCAACGCCTCATCACATCTTCGGGACGTCTCGAAGCGTTTCACAGGATACACTGTAAAGCGTAGTGACTGTGTGTTTTGTGGACGAAACGCGGCAGCCAATTGCGTTTGAAAAGCAGTTTGATGTTGTGACGGGGGAACGGGAGGGGTGATGGGGGTGTAGGGGGTATAGGAGGTGGGGGGGGGTGTGGTGTAGGGGTGTAGGGTAGGGTGGGGTATTGGGGAGGTGGTGAGATGTGAGGTAGAGAAGATGAGCTGATGGTCTCACTGATACCTACTTGGTGTCACACCCGACAGGGGTAAAGTCCAGCTTGTGTCTGGTGTGAAACAACCCACTTTTAGTGCGTATCTCCAGGATGGAGGGCAATTCCAGAGGGGTGGCTACGGCGAAGAGGGCAAGCTGAGGGGGGAGCAGCGAGCCATCCTCCCCCCGTTTGTTCTGTCCGTGAAGATATTTCAGCCTCCCCTGGAGATTCAGTGGCTGAGAGACAGCAGAGGACACGGGGGCGTCAATAACAATAATAATCCTCGCATTCGACAGCCCGCACCTTATCTCGGCTTCGAGACGTCGCAAAGCGCTTCTTAGGCTATACCGTAAAGTGTAGTGACTGTGCAGCCAATTTCGCACAGCGGTGTCCCCACAATCAGTGGGTGTGGATTGAAGTGACCAAATTATTTATTTTTTGAAGGGATTATTACCCCCGAAAAAGCGATCCCCCAATCAACTAACAACCGGGTTCCTACTGACCGCTGGTAAACAGAGGCGTGTGTGTGTGTGTTCGTGAATGCGTATGTGTGTGTGTGTCTGTGTGTGTGTGTGTGTGTGTGTGTGGAGTAAGGAAACTTGCCTAAGGTTTCGCCCTGACCCTTCCGGGAATTGAACCCGGATCCTCTGGCTTGCGAGGCGAGGGGTCTAACCCCTGAGCTACAGGGGCTGTGGGGTGCGAGGCGAGGGGTCTAACCCCTGAGCTACAGGGGCTGTGGGGTGCGAGGCGAGGGGTCTAACCCCTGAGCTACAGGGGCTGTGGGGTGCGAGGGGAGGGGTCTAACCCCTGAGCTACAGGGGCTGTGGGGTGCGAGGCGTGGGGTCTAACCCCTGAGCTACAGGAACTCCACATCACTCTGTAATCGTTAGCAAATTGGTTATGAAATATGCGCAAGTTAGGTCGCGACGTGTCTCACCACAAAACCGGAGGCCGTGTCCAGAAGGGACCGCATTCGACACACGAAGCTTCGCTCCAGGAAGGCAGAATTCTCAGGCGGGAGGTGACGAGGTTCGAAGCTCACGGGGCTTTCAGCCTGGCCACCGGCACCTGCACGGGACGGGAAGCGTAGTAGTGACTGTCTGTTTCGTTGGGGGCGCCAACTCGCGCAGAGCGACGGAGCCGCAAACAGGCGTGAAGCGAGTGAAGGATTTTACACGCACTGGGAGAGAGAAACAGAGACAGAGAGAGAGACAGACACAGAGAGAGAGAGAGAGAGAGACAGAGAGAGAGAGAAACTCCCTTCTCTTTCCCAAAAGCGCCACCTGAACAGGCCCTAACCACCTCACTACAGGGCCTCTTTCATCCAACGTATCTTCTCCCCCAAAGAGAGACCTTGTTGGACTTGGTTGACTCACAAAAAAAGGAACAGGAGGAGACCATTCAGCACTTTGATCCTGTTCCGCCATTTAGTTAGATCACGGCTGATCTGTACCTCAACTGATCCTGTCAACTCCAATGCCCCTCCTGTCCCACCCCGCTGCCCGGTCTCCACTCCCCGGTGGAATCCCCTTAGACCATCCCCCCCGGATCCTGGCCAGGCACCGCTTGCTGACCAACCTCAGTCTTCCAGGCAAGGCGTTGGGATGGAATCCCCACCAATCCTGGCATTTTTTGGGGGCAGGGAAGGCTGAGTTCCCAGATTTCTACCCCCCACTTGGGTGCAAACATGGTCCCTGATTTCACCCTTAAACGGCCTGGTTGTAATTTTAAGACTGTGCTCACCTCTGGAGGGTTGGCAGTTGTTGAGCGGAGAAGGGTTTAGGGCCCAGTGAAGCTGACGTCGAAATTCAATACGGTCCTCGGGGTGAATAAGGTCATAAACAGGTTGATGCATGACGGCAGTCTGTAGCACAGGGGCACAAAGGGCAGAGATATCAGGCCGACAGCTTAACACCCCTTCACTCACACGCTTCCTACACGTCGCACATGGAACTGTTTTTATTTGGTCAGTGACTGAGCCAGTCTGACACACACACACACAGCGACTGAGCCAGTCTGACACACACACACACAGCGACTGAGCCAGTCTGACACACACACACACAGCGACTGAGCCAGACTGACACACACACACACAGCGACTGAGCCAGACTGACACACACACACAGCGACTGAGCCAGACTGACGCACACACACACACAGCGACTGAGCCAGACTGACACACACACACAGCGACTGAGCCAGACTGACGCACACACAGCGACTGAGCCAGACTGACGCACACACACACACACAGCGACTGAGCCAGTCTGACACACACACACACAGCGACTGAGCCAGACTGACGCACACACACAGCGACTGAGCCAGTCTGACACACACAAAGCGACTGAGCCAGTCTGACACACACACACACAGCGACTGAGCCAGTCTGACACACACACACACACACACACACAGCGACTGAGCCAGGCTGACACACAGCTTAGAATCCCTTTACTGACCTGATGGAAGCCCAGATACTCCTGTATCGTGGCCGATGCATAGAATATGCAACCGTCACCGACCACCACTATAATGAACCCATTCAGCACCTGTCAACACAGAGCATGCGATCCGCCATTGTTACTCATACAATTTAAGGGCAGCTCAAATATTGGGGGAAAGTGGGGGAGGGTGTTTGGGGGGGGGGGGGAGGGTGTTTGGGGGGGGAGTGTTTGGGGGGAGGCTGTTTGGTGGGGGGAGGTGTTTGGGGGGGGAGGGTGTTTGGGGGGGGTGTTTGGGGGAGGGTGTTTGGGGGGGGGAGGGTGTTTGGGGGGGGAGTGTTTGGGGGGAGGCTGTTTGGGGGGGGGGTTGGGGGGGTGTTTGGGGGAGGGTGTTTGGAGGGGGAGTGTTTGGGGGGAGGCTGTTTGGTGGGGGGAGGGTGTTTGGAGGGGGAGTGTTTGGGGGGAGGGTGTTTGGAGGGGGAGTGTTTGGGGGGAGGCTGTTTGGAGGGGGGGGGATGTTTGGGGCTTGTCCCCAGAGCAGCACTGACCTGTAGCAGGAGATCACTCTCTCTCAGGAGTTGAGCTGTGTCGCTCACAGACACTTTCTTCTCTCCCGGTGGCTCCACAGAAGCCCACGTCTTTCCGTTCCGCAGAGAAACTGCACGAGAGGCGATACACAGTGAGCAATACACACACACACACGCACGTACCCTGACACGCGCACAGACACACACAAACACAACACACACCTGACACAGACACACACACACCCTGACACAGACACACACACACCCTGACACAGACACACACACACCCTGACACAGACACACACACACCCTGACACAGACACACACACACCCTGACACAGACACACACCCTGACACAGACACACACACACCCTGACACAGACACACACACACCCTGACACAGACACACACACACCCTGACACAGACACACACACACCTGACACAGACACACACACACCCTGACACAGACACTCACACACCCTGACACAGACACACACACACCCTGACACAGACACACACACACCCTGACACAGACACACACACCTGACACAGACACACACACACCCTGACACAGACACACACACACCCTGACACAGACACACACACACACACACACACTTAAAAACAAACATACCCAGACGGACACGGACACACACACGCACATACACGCACGCACAGACATGTCCTGACTGTCCTGCGCCTTGGGATGTCCTCCCGAAACACGAAAGACGGCAATAAATGGAATGTGTTCTTGTTATAACATGAGTGTAAAATGATCATTTTCGCCCACAGAAACACACAGTCACTACACTTGACAGTGTATCCCGTGAAGTGCTTTGAGATGTCTCGACGACGTGATAGGGCTCTGTATCAAATGCCAGGATTATTATTATTATTATTATTATTATCATTATTATTAATCGACTCGGATTAGCCGTGGAGATGCCGGGGAGATTGCTGGTAAAGCAAAGAGGGGCAGAGCTCTGTGCTGAGAGGCGAGGCTGCGTCGGTGGTGTTGTTCTTGTCGACGACGGGTTATTCGCTGACTGACTGGGAGCTGTCGGGAAACGCAGAGTTTAATGGGAGAGACTCTTTAATGGCCACAGAACACTTCCCTGTTTCTACCAACAGAGGCTGGACACATAGCGTGCGAAGGCTTCTCCCGGGATCAAATTACAGCCGACTATATATAAGCACAAGGCGTCTGCGAGTCTACTGCTTATTGTGTTGCTCGCTCCTGGAGTACAGAGAGCAACGGTTGCCCAACCCTGTAACACGTTGGGAACAACAGTCTCTATACCAGCTCACCCCTCTCACTCTGTCTGTCTGTCTGTCTGTCTGTCTGGCTCAGGTCAAGGTCTGTGTGAGTGCCACCACCGGATAATAATAATAATAGTAATAAAATATTATATATCGACTGACAACCAGATTCCTACTCACTCACTGCCGGGTAAACAGAGGCCTGTGCGTGCGCGCGTGTGCGTGTGCGCGCGTGTGTGTGTGTGTGTGTGCGTGTGGAGTAAGGAAACTTCCCTAAGGTTTCACCCTGATCTGAGCTGATCGGCAATCGAACCCAGTTCCTCTCGCCTGCGAGGCAAATGCTCTACAATAGCCCCCACCCCCTCATGACGTCCCAGTGTGTGTCCCACTTCCTGATTTGACTTGATAGCGTGACAGAAGAAGCTTGTGGTTAAAGGCAGATGTGTTCCTGTACGTACATCAATCACTGTCGTTCAGTACGTGATCTATTTTGACGTGTGTCCTGTGACCCAATTTGAACTTTGAAAATCTCTACCGTTAGCCCCGATATGGAGAGAGAAGAGCGAGAGAGCGCGAGCGAGAGCGCAAGAGAGAGCGAGAGAGAGTGCGAGCGAGAGAGCGAGCGAGAGAGCGAGAGAGAGAGAGCGCGAAAGAGAGTGAGTGAGTGAGTGAGTGAGAGAGAGAGAGAGCGCGAGCGAGCACAAGAGAGAGCGCAAGAGAAAGCGAGAGAGCGAGAGAGAGTGCGAGCGAGAGAGAGCGCGAAGAGAGAGCGCGAAAGAGAGAGAGAGAGAGTGAGAGAGAGTGAGAGAGAGAGAGAGAGAGAGCGCGAAAGAGAGTGAGTGAGTGAGAGAGAGAGTGAGAGAGAGTGAGAGAGAGAGAGAGAGGAGAGAGAGAGAGAGAGCGGGAACACCCTCGTGGTTTTATCCGAAATTGAGTTCGAAAGTTAGAAATACTGAGAGTGCAAATTGTGCATTGCGTGAGACGTTAACAGATGTTCAACTCTCCCAACCCCCCCCCCTCCCTCTCTCTCTCTCGCTCTCTCTCTCGCTCTCCCCACCCCCTCTCCCCCCTCCCCCTCTCCCCCCTCTCTCCTCTCCCCATCCCTCTTTCTCTGCTCCCTCCAACCCACTATCTCCCTCTCTCTCGAGCCCTCTCTCTTCTCTCTACCCCTCGCTCTCTCTGCCCCTTCCTCTCTCTCTCCCCCGCCCCCCCCCCCCACCACCATCTCCCCCCTCTCTCTCTTCCCTTCTCTTACCTCTCCCCCACCTCTCTCTCTCCCCCCGTCCTCGCTCTTTCTCTCTCTCCCCCTCTCTCCATTCTTCCCACTCTCCCTTTCTCGCTCCCCCCCCCACCCACCTCTCCTTCCTCTGCCAACATCAAGAAGGAGAAAGAAAGAAAAAAAGGAAGGAAGGAAAGCGAGAGAGCGCGCGGATAAACTTATAAGTGATGTAAGGTCGGGATTTGAGCTGAGATGAGGCCAGACTTGGTGTGTGTTTTCCCTCCACCCCCACAAAAAACCCAATCAATTCTCAGTGTACGCACTCACACCTCCGTACAAACCACAGTCTTGTGTGTGTGGTGTGAGCGCATATACAGAGGCCACCGGTTTAAGCCGTGAGCACCCAGTTGGCAGGATGTTGTGGTGAAGAGGATTGGATCGAGGCTGTTGGCATTAACCGTGAGCCAACCCCCCCCCCCCCACCCCTCCACACACATACACACACACATACCAGGGCAAGTCCTGGCAGATCCTCATCATCTACTTCCCATCTACCTCCCATCCCACTCAACTCAGGCCCTGGAGCTCAGGGGTTAGAGCCCTCACTAGCGAGAGGATCTGGGTTTGATTCCTGGTTGGGTTAAGACAGGGAGAAACCTAAGGCAAGTTTCCTTACGCACACACACACACACAGACTCACACACAGACTCACACACAGATACACACACACAGATACACACACACACACACACACACACACACACACTGTTTACCAGCAGCAAGTAGGAACCCGCTTTTTAGTCGATTGGTGGATCACTTTCCGAGGGCAATAATCTCTTTAACAAAAAAATAATTTGGTCGCTCAGTCCCTGACTGTCTGTGCGGACGCTGCTGTGCCTAATTGGCTGTCGCGTTTCGCCCACAAAATAAATACAGCCACTGCACTTTACAGTGCATCCTGTGAAGCGCTTTGAGACGTCTGGAAGACGGGATAAGGCGCTGGAATATGCTGTAAAGTGTCGTCACTGTGCGATTTGTGGGCGCACAGACAGTCGTAGATTGAGTGACCAAATCGTTTTTGGAGGGACTATTACCCCCGGAAAGCGAATCGCCAATCGACCAACAAGCGGATTCCTGGTTATTTCTAGGTAAACGGCAGCGTGTGTCTGTGTGTGTGAGTGAGTCCGTGTGCGTGTGGAGTAAGGAAACTTGCCTAAGGTTTCGCCCTGACCTGACCCGGGTCCTCTCTGGCCTGCGAGGTGTGTGGGGGGGTGTCTAACCCCCTGAGCTACGGGAACAAGTCTTACCTTCGAAGAACCTCTTGAGGCGCAGGTAGCTGACGCTGAGGCGCAGGATGGAGAGCTTGTCAAGGCGGTCGGCCACATCCTCGCTGGTTGGGAGCAGTCGCAGGAGGTTGTTGAACTCAGTGTTCAGACGGTCTCGGTGTCTCTTGGAAGGGTTCGATCTCAAGCCGTTCCCAGGTAACGTCTCGGCACTGGGAATTGGGGAAACAAGAGCTTGCAATGAAACAACAACCACCACCGCAACAACAACTTGCGTTTGACTCAGTGCCCTTCACTCGGAGCTTAATAATAATAATAATAATAATAACCCCGGGGTTTGACCCAGCTCCTGATCAAGTCTTCGAGATGTCTCAAAGCGACATCTTTAACGTCCACCCGAACAAGGCACAGACAGTGGGGTGGGGGGGTGGGGGGGAGGTAGTGAGGGTTAACGTCTCATCCCCAAAGGACGGAGTCTCCAAAAATGCGTCTCTCTCTCTCTCTCTCTCCCCCCAACACCCCCAGGGCTGCACTGGAGCGTAAGTTTAGTCTATATAGGTCCCAAGTGCCAACGTGAAGGGGGTTTTGAACCCACAACCTTCTGACTCAGAGGTGAGAGAGAGAGCGCTCGCGACTGAAGTGGTGATGAGATGTGAGTTCTATTGACTACCTGGCAAACCATCGCTCTCTCTCTCTCTCTCTCTCTCCAGCGAGCGAGATTAATTTAGCGGTTTGAAAAACTTACTCATGTTGTGGGTAGAAAGTTCTTCACTTTCCAGGAAACTTATCGCTTCGCATTTACTGTTAACAGGAAAGTGATTTTTTTCCAGAGACCCGGAGATCGGTTCCTTGTTAAACTCTGACACTAAGAACTGAGCCCCCAGTAATAATGATTATAATAATAATAATAATAATCCTCGCATTTCGTATCACGCCTTATCGTGTCTTCGAGACGTCTCAAAGCATTTCACGGAATATACTGTAACGCGTAGTGACTGTATTTTGTGGGCGAAACGCGATAAGGCGCTACATCAAATCCAAGGATCTCACAAATACATATATATCACATATACTCACTCACACACTCACTCACACACTGTGTCTCACACTTACTAACACAGTCTCACACACACTCACTCATACACAGTCTCGCACACACTCACTCACACACAGTCTCACACACACTCACTCATACACAGTCTCGCATACACTCACTTACAAAGGAGTACACACACACACACAAGACAGATGCCCAGGAGAATGAAGAGGCATAGGCTGCAGCGATTTGGGGTAGGGGTGAGGGGGAGAGAGGGGTGAGGGGTGAGGTGTCAGGGGCTATAGTGTGGGGGGAGCAGAGGAAGGAAGTGGAGGGGGAATGGAGTGCTCAGTTGCCCTGACCAAACACTGGGCTTGACAACAAACCTCACCCCCAGACACATGTTAATCCCTGTAACCAGATAAACAGGTTCTGAGAGATGATACATCCATTAATCCACAAAGCCCCAATGCCTCACTCACTAACAGTCTCACCTCGATCCACTGGAGCATCAGCCGAGACTGTCAGCTCACAGTCCCTGTCAACCCTGAGGCTAATGAACCTACAACCTACTGACTGAGCCGGGCTGACACTCGCACTCACACACACACACACACACACACACACGCGCACTGAGCCGGGCTGACACTCGCACACTCACACACACACTGAGCCGGGCTGACACTCGCACTCACACTCACACACACACGCGCACTGAGCCGGGCTGACACTCGCACACTCACACACACACTGAGCCGGGCTGACACTCGCACTCACACTCACACACACACGCGCACTGAGCCGGGCTGACACTCACACACACACTCACACACACACACGCACTGAGTCGGGCTGACACTCACACTCACACACACTGAGCCGGGCTGACACTCGCACACTCACACACACACACACACACACACACACACACGCGCACTGAGCCGGGCTAACACTCACACACACTCACACACACACTGAGCCGGGCTGACACTCACTCACACACACACTGAGCCGGGCTGACACGCACTGAGCCGGGCTGACACACACTGAGCCGGGCTGACACGCACTGAGCCGGGCTGACACGCACTGAGCCGGGCTGACACACACTGAGCCGGGCTGACACACACTGAGCCGGGCTGACACACACTGAGCCGGGCTGACACACACTGAGCCGGGCTGACACACACTGAGCCGGGCTGACACACACGGGGGAAATGATTATCAAGCAGTGTCGACACAATCAAAACTCCCGAACGGTCAAAATTTATTATTATTTTTTAAACGCACAGATTTATAGCGTGAGACTCGAGTGGAAAATGAAAGGAACGAGGGCAGAAAATGTCACTTTGAAGCCATATCCTGGCATCAAAGCCTGACTCGGGGTGGGGTGGGGCGGAGAGTGGGGTGCGGGGGGGGGGGGGGGAGAGGGGGTGGGAATGGAGCTAATTGTGCTCAGGCCTTTGAACCTTTCCTGTTCCACTCGGGCCCTGAGCCCCGACCCATTGGAAGATTCTGTAATTGATCTGTTAAACACTATCTCAAATGATGTTTGTGATGTTCGTTATGTAATAATAGTTCTGACATTTGGCCCAACGCCTTATCACGTCTTCCAGACAACAGGTGACGGGTCACCCCTTAATGAGCTGTATAAATGGAGATCAGAAGAGAGAATTGGATGCACATACATACATATATATATATATACTTGGATTAAATTGGACATTAAATTGGACATTAAATTGGACATTAACTTGGACGGACATTTCTCCTCTTTCTCTTCTGGCTACGCCATCATTATCGCGATGTATTCTTTTCATCACTGTTACTAACTCCGAGTGAATAAAACATCTGTGTTTTCGCACAACATTGGTGTCATTCCTTACTCCAACCACAGGTTCAACTTGGTTTAAACCGGGGCCTTACCCCCTCCCCCTCTACCCCCCCCCACCACCCCCGCAACCCAGAACAACGATGACGACAACATCACGATCATCATCATCGTCATCATCTTGCACTTAATATAGCGCCTTCCGCGCAGGGCAAGGTCTCGGAGAAAGCCACAGAGCGGGAGGGAGAGAGGGAGAGAGAGAGAGAGAGAGAGAGAGAGAGACGCACGGGGAGAGGTTGGTGTTGTTGGTCTGGAGGTAGTCGTGTGTCTGGTGGAGACACAGGGGACAGGACAGGCTCCGTGATGTGCAAGTGATGGAAAATACTGATAGGCGGCGGCTGTAAAGCGGTCTCTCCTGTACCACACAACACACGACCAGCAAACAACAGCCCTCGACGCCGACAACAACAGACAACAGCTCGCCCTCCACGCAGTGTAGCGCCTCAGAGCGCTTAACACTGGCGGAGCCTGATGCTGAGCCGGGGGTGGGCGGGGAGTCGGTTGGTGGGGTGGTGGGGGCGGGGGGGGGGGAGATGACCGTCAGCACGGTCGAAGAGGGAGGTCTTTCGAACGCGATCTGAAGGCGGGCAATGAGGTGGGGGTAGGGGGTGCGGGGGGGGGTTTGGGGGGGGAGGAAGCGGAGGGATTGAGGTAGAGAGGTTTGGGGCGTAGTGGAGACGTGGAGGAAATAGGGAACGATGCAGCACCCCCCACCCCCCCCCCATCACCCCACTCACGTCGCGTTCCCCCTTGACCCCTGTCTCCCCCACTCCCCCCGAATCCCCTGACCCCCGATTTCTGAACCCAAACACAGTACAGTCTAAATAACAGTGTTGATGTAACTCTGTGCAGCTTTACTCCTCATCTCTCGCTCTCTTATATAACTTCTTCCTGGTGTTTCCGAGAATTTCAATCGGAGCCACTGGTGGGGGTGGGGGGGGGGAAGGGGGCTGAGCGGGGTGGGGTGGGGGGAGGCTTTGGGAGGGGGGGGGGGGTAAAAAGGACGGGTGGGGGATGTACGGCTGAATGAATTGAGCCTTTTAACAAACGCTGTGTCTGGAAAATGGTGTCAACAACATTTCCAAAATAACTTTTACACAAACTGACACCAGAGACACACACAGAGACACACACACACAGACACACACACACACACAGAGACACACACACACAGACACAGACACACACACACACACAGACACACACACACACACACAGAGAGACACACACACACAGACACAGACACACACAGACACACACACACAGACACACACTTACTTGAGACACACACACACACAGACACATAAAGAGACAGAGAAATACACACACACATACATACACTTACATAAAGGGAGACAGGTACAGACAGACACACACACACAGTTACGTAAACAGAGCAACACCACAGTTACATAAAGAGAGAGAGAGAGAGAGACACAGACACACAGAGAGAGACGGACGGAGAGACACACACACACACACACACACACCGAACACAGACAGAGTCACAAACAGAAGCCCAGAGGCAAAATTAAAGGGGTCGCATCAGAATTGAGCGAGAAACAGAACGAGAGAGAACGAGAGAGAGAGAGAGAGAGAGAGAGAGAGCGCTCGGGGTTAAAAGACAGAAACTTCACCTGTTGTTGTTGTTGTTGTTGTTATTCTGACCTCCTCTCTTCCTCTTCCTCCCCAGATAGATGCTTCTCGTCGCGGCGATCATGGTGCGGGCGGGTGGTGGGGGGGGCGGGAGGGGGACGGTGTGTGTGCGAGAGAGAGAGCGAGAGAGCGGTAGTGGGGTGGAGGGGAAAGGGGAGGAACGGCTGCACACACAAGAGAGCCTCTCTCCTTCCTTGACGAGTCACGGCTGACCGTCCGTCCGTCCATCCGTCCGTCCGTCTGCCTTGGGGCTGATCCGGCAATGCTTCGGGTTTCAGAGGCTCTGACGGTGGAGGAGCTGAAGCCGATCGAACAACAGGAACTGTGGGGCATGTAGTTAAACCCCAGTCACACCGACACCATCTGTGAGTCATCTCCTCCTCCTGACGGCACAGCCATCCGTCGAGATCCGCGGCCAAGTCATGGTTTCGCCCACAACAACAAAAACAGTCACTACGCTTCCCCCCCAAAGGGGTGTCCCGCGAAGGAAGGGGCTGCGAGGCGTCCGGGACGAGGGGCTGAGGCGCTGCGTCGAGTTATTAACGACGACGATGATGACAACCGTCGTATTCATTTGACATAAAAGGGCTTAATCTCCAACAGCTTCGCGGGGTTTCACTGTCTGCGACACAGTCGCCACCGGTCACAGCGTCACAGGAATATAATAATAATGTAATAACAGTCATATAATAATAATAAAATAATAATAATAATCCTGGCATTTGATACGGCGCCTTATCGGGTCATCGAGACGTCTCAAAGCGCTTCAAAGAGTATACTGTGAAGTGAAGTGACTGTGTACTTTGGGGACGACATGCGCACAGCAGCGCCCCCCCCACAAACAGCCGTGGATTGAGTGACATTTTTTATTGATTGATTGATTGATTGATTGATTGTTGGAGGGATTATTACCCCCGGAAAAGCCATCCGCCAATCGACTAACAACCGGGTTCCTACTGACCGCCGGTAAACACAGGCGGGTGTGCGTGGGGGTGTGTGTGTGTGGGGGTGTGTGTGTGTGGGGGTGTGTGTGTGTGGGGGGGGTGTATGTGTGGGGGTGCGCGTGGGTGGGGGGGTGTGTGTGTGTCTAAGGTTTCGACCTGACCCGCCGGGGAATCGAACCCGGGTCCTCTTGCTTGCGAGGCGAGGGTGGGGGTCTAATCCCTGAGCTACAGGGGGGGCTCCTCTGCGCAGTCGTAGAGACTCGAGGCCGCCCCCAGGTCATCGCCAGAGAAAAGCCCCGCAGGGCACCAGGCCATAAAGACACGGAGTTGGGGGGTGGGGGGGGTTTACGTGGAACACGGATGGTTTTATTTCCCGGAACCTTAAAACATTAAATAAGGAAACGCTTCGTCCCTCGAACGGACGACACTCGTTGGAAGAAACGAGGCACAAAACAACCGAAACAGGTACAGAGTAAACGGGTAAACGGCGACGACAACTTGCATTTACGGAGCGGTACTCACACCGACCGAGGAAGGAGGGGGTCTCGTCGCGCAGTCAGACTCGGACGCGGATTTATATACAGCTACGTACAATTTAAGGGAGGGTCGGAGTGGTGGGGGTGGTGGGGGGGTGGTGGGGGGGGGTTGGGGGGGTAGGGGGTGGGAGATTGTGGTCTCGTTTTCCCTGCCCTTTGCCTTCCCCATCTTCAGGGCGCACCTGAGGACCTTCCTCCTCGAGCGACCAGTGCCTACGGTCACTACCTCGCCCCCCCCCCCCTCCACCCCCAACCCCCATCGACACTGTGCTCCTTCACTGTCAAACCCCCACCCCCCACCCCCTTCCCCACCACCCCCCCCCACCCCACCCCTGTGTGAGGGGGCGCTGTGTAAATGCAAGTTGTCGTTTCTTATTTCATCACATTTTTTTGCTGACACCCTGTACAATAATACCTCACCTTCAGCTGGGGGGGGGTGGGGGGGTGGGGGTAGGGGGGTGGGGGTGGGGCTGGGGGGGGTGGGGGTGGGTGGGGGGTCATTCAGATAAGGATGGTTACGTAAAGGGTGTTCACAAAGTCCTGTTACACCCCCTCAACCCCCCCCCACCACATACACACACTCCCCCAGACCCCCACGCACCCCCAGACCCCCTCAACACCCCCCCCCCCCCCTCCTGCCTGTTTTTTTTGCTTACAACAAATTTATTACAATGAAAAAACACAGGGGCAACACCCCCAGAGAGATCGACAGTGGCGGAGCACAATGGGGGGGGGGGGGAAAGGGAAATGGGGGAGGGCGAGGGGGCAAGTAAGTGACCGGAGACACCTTAGCTCCAACAGGAAGGTCTTCAGGCGAGACCTGAAGATGGAGGAGGAGGGTAAGGGGAGTGTGGTGGTGTGGGGGGGGCCGGGGTGGGGGGGGTATTGAGCACCAAGAGTTTCGGGTGATAACTCGGCCGTCGGTGGTTGAGCGGAGGGCGCGAGGGACAAAGCAAGAGGCCGGAGCCAGCACTTACTGCGAGGTGTAGTGACTGTGTCATTTGCCAGCATTTACTGTAAGGTGTAGTGACTGTGCAATTTGTAGGTGACAGACAGACACACGCACACAACTGGTGAACAAAACCCACGTCTAAGACCGACTTGCAAATGCCTTTGGCCGATAAGTGCATTTAAGGCCCTGAGGGAATACCTTTTAATTGAGTCACTGAACTCTCGCCCCCCCCCCCGTTCCCCCCAACACTTTTCTTCTCCCCTCCCCCCCCCCAACCCCATCATTAACAATCACCCACATTTCTCGGTCACTCGAATAAATACTGAGGTCGCTCTATTAATCTTACGTCCGTTCACTTCACTTTTACACCCCCCCCCACCCCCAACCCGAACATTGGTTCTAGTGGCTTGAGCTGCCGAGGCTTCTCATCAAGTGGTCGAGACGTCTCGAAGCTCTTCGCAGGACACAGCTGTCGAGTGCAGTGTAGTGACTGTGTGCCTTTTGTGTAAAGAGGAGAGGTCTTCGAAGGCTGACCTGAAGACGAGGAAGGAATGGAGGGAGCGAGGCGGAGGGAGGGATAGAGGGGGAGAGAGTGACAGAGGGGGTGGGGGGGGGGGTGGGTTAGCGGCTGAAAGAACGGCCGTCGATGGTGGAGCGGTGGTGGGTTGGGGGGGGTGGGGGAGGGGTAAGCGGGTGGGAGAGGGTAGGGAGGTGCCAGGGAATGAAGGGGTTCAAGGACCAAACCCCCCGCCCCCCCCCCTTGACAGTTGGTCACCCCGAGATCAGTGCAATTGCGGCTTTCGATGATCGAAAACGCATGTCATTTCGTTTTGGGGTAAAACGGGGGGTGTGGGGGGAGGAGGGAGTAATAGGGCGGATAGGGTTTGCGGGAGACTTGTGGTTGTCGCCCGGGGAGGGGGGGGGGGGGTTGGCTGTGTGAGAGGGGGGGTGGTGGTGGTGGGGGCGGGCGGGCGGGGGGGGGGAGGGGGGGGGTTGTCCTGCCCGCGTAATTAATTATTAATTATTATTATTGAAAGTGTATAAAAAAATAAATTAGGCTCTGGAGTAGGCCTCGCTGTCGTTCCAATGTGTCACCCAGTCCTTTTGATAGCGGGTCTGCTTCTCGTCCAGGTGGAGCTGCCGGTCCTCCTTCCCTATCCTCACCGCGTGATACTGAGGCACCGTGTCGTTGTAACGCGACCGTTTGAAGAACCCGCACTGGAAAATAAACACAAGCGGGGAATAGGGGGAGAGGGGGGGGGAGAGGAGAGAGGGAGAGAGGGGGAGAGAGGAGAGGGGAGGAGAGAGGAGAGAGGGGGGAAGAGAGGATTAGATTATTCTTTTCCAGACACGAAGCAGCTAAGGACTTGATTTTGTTGGTGGAGTCTTATCGTAGTGGTCAGAGAGATCCGCCAATCGACTAACAACCGGGTTCCTAATTACCGGTGGTGTATCTGTGTGGTGTGTGGGAGGGGGGGTGGGGGGGGGGGAGGGGGTAAGGAAACTTGCCTAAGATTTTGCCCCGACCTGACCCGCCTGGGAATGGAACCCGGATCCCTCTCTAACCACCACGCTCACAAGATCAAATAGACCCGGGCCGAAAGGGTGCCGTCATGCAAACCAACCTGGTGATCAGAGACACGGGCTGAGAGACTGAGGGCGGACCTTCTACAGAACCACACAATACCACGGAGGGTCCCTGAGAAGGTCCCTCGTCTCAGCTTTGCCCGTGTCCCTATTCCGCGCCACGCCCAATCGATCGGTGCGCAGGCATTCTCTTAACCATCAGGAGGAACACATCAACACAGAACAAAACTGGGAGGCTGTCCACTCGGGGTGCAACCCTTGAAATAACACGTGGTTCCCATGCAGAAGGTCTCGAGTTACTGACACACCAGAAATCATAAGACACCGTCACCGTCCACAGGCAATGAACAACCACAGCTACAAACACAAACACACGCGTGCCCAATGCGTTACTACAGTGCGATGCGTACAGTCGGGGGAGGGGGTTGGGGGGGGGTGTAAGGATTATTCTCTTTCGCTGCTCTTGGGTTGACTTCAACAAAGAATGGTGACTGACTGACCCAAGGCGCGGTTGGTCGAAGAGGACAGTCTTGAGACTGGCCTGGAAGGAGGGGAGGGAGCGAGGGTTGGGGGTGGGTGGGGGGACATGTGGGACGGAGTTCCAGATGGGGGCGGAGATGCTGAAGGCCGGGCTGGGGGGACACTTGGTGCAGGCCGGAGCCCTCTGACCGGAGGGAGCAGACAGGTCTATTAGCAGGTCGCAGAGCGAGGCCTTGGAGGGCCTTGAAGGCGAGGACAAGGATTGGGAGATGTACCCTCTGGGGGATGGGGAGCCAGTGGAGCCGGGGGAAGGATGTGGGTGGGGGTGAGAATCAGGGGCATGTTTTGCGACACTTATATAAATCCTTACACCCCATCCTTGGGGCATGCGTGTGCTGGATACCTCATGCAGAAACACACACACGCATCCACCCCCCCCCACACACACACACACCAAAACATCAAGCTTTGCTCCACCAAAACCAAACACAAGCCCATCAACAGCCATTACCACAGGTGATGACACTAAGCCTCATTGGCCATTTTCTCCTTGTCAGAGGCCTGGGTTTCCAGGTGAGCCCTGTGATATTCCGTCTCGTAGCGAGCTTCTTTGCTCGTTCTCTTGAAGAAACCGCACTATACGGGAGGGAGGGAGGGAGGGAGGAGGGGCGAGGGATGGGGTGGGTGGGGAGTGGGGGGGGGAGAGGAGGAAGCAATGTGCAATCCTGGGGTTACATCAGATCAACACAAAGTGCCACGATTGCACCTCAATCTCTATCCAAGATGGCATAGGAACAAAGGAACAGGAGGAGGCCATTCAGCCCCTCGAGCCTGTTCTGCCATTCTATTGTTCTGTACTTCAAGCCCAATTACCTGCCTTTGCCCCATATCCTTTAATATCCTGCTGCCTGAGAGTATTAGGCACAGGTTGGGCAACAGCCATGGCTTGGGGGGTGGGGGGGAAGCCCAGAGTGTGCGTTGGGGGTAACTGCTGGAGTCTAACCAGCTAAACCCACACAGAGCTCGGCCACTGAGAGAGAGAGAGAGAGAGAGGGAGCGCTGTCTGGCCAAGCTTTCCCACTACTCGTCCAGCCGGGACCACCCTCCCCGCTAGTTAGTTAGTCAGTCAGTCAGTTAGTTAGTTAGGGCTTTGGCTGGAGGTTAACCGGAGCCGAGGGGGAGGACTCTCTGCCCCCAGTGACTGGTCGGCCCTTCCAGGTCCTGCGATGGCTGAGCCGGGCCGGGCTGAGCCGCCATCAGCAGTGAGTGCCCTGGGACACTGCGGCCCCTCCTGGCTCAGGATCCGGGGGCTCGAGACCGTCACAGAGAGAGAGGGGTGGTGGTGGGGGGGGGGGTCTCGATTCCGACATTGCCAAACATTTGGCCCGCTCAGTTCCGAGGAGACCCCTAAGAAATGGCCTGAGATGGGAGTTGATGAGTTGACCTTCCAGTCAGAGCGATCAGGGCTTCGTGTTAATGATTACCTTCCAAAGCAGGAACACAAGTAGAGCCAGGACTAGGATTCCTGCCAGAACAGCTATGAGAATGATTAGCCAGGATAGACCTCCATATTCTCCAATCGTTTTCTCTGGGTATATCGTTAAGGCAACCTGCAAAGGCCAAAGGTCCCACACAGTTAATAAATAACATTTATTGGTCAGCCGGGTGTCTGACACCCACTCTCTCCCAAACCAACCTTAGAGTTCCTCGAACGTGGAAATGCCCGTGTAAAATGCGAGTAATAATAATAATAAACCTGGCGCTGGGCTGAGATCCCTGAGACGTGGTGAGGCTTAAATTCACGGCCGTCTGACACACAGAGGCGAGAGTGTGAGCGACTGACTGAGCCAGGCTCACTCGTCACTGCTATATGAAAGGCCCCGTGTGAGTACAAGTCGTCGTCGTCGTTGTTGTTGTTGTTTACCTGGGCTCTTGATTCCTTGACCTTCAAGTTTTTGATTGAGGATTGGACGCTGATGACGGCGCGAATGATCAGCTCTATCCCTCGCACATTAGCGTATTCCTGTCAGCACACAAACACGCTGTCAGACATCGAGTCAAAGCCCTTTTAACAGTGAAAATAATAACAATAATGATCCCGGCGTTTGACCCGGCGCCTCATCACGTCTTCGAGACGTCTCAAAGCGCTTCGCGGGAGACACTGTAAAGTGTAGTGACCGCGTGTGTGTTTGCGGGCGAAACGCGGCAGCCGATTGCGCCGGCGACGTCCCCGCAAACAGCCGTGGATTGAGTGAACAATGTATTATTTTTTGAAGGGCTTATTATCCTCCAATTGGGTTCCTACAGACTGCTGGTAAACAGCGGCGTGTGTCTGTGTGTGTGTGTGCGTGCGTGCGTCTCTGTGTGTGTGTGTGTCTGTGTGTGTGTGTGCGTGTGTGCGTCTCTGTGTGTGTGTGTGCGTGTGCGTGTGTGCGTCTCTGTGTGTGTGTGTGTGTGTGCGTGCGTGTGTGCGTCTCTGTGTGTGTGTGTGTGTCTGTGTGTGTGTGTGTGTGCGTGTGTGCGTCTCTGTGTGTGTGTGTGTCTGTGTGTGTGTGTGGAGTAAGGAGAGGATGAAAGGTCTGACTGGCGATGGTTGGGACGGGAAGCTGCTGAGTGGAGGGAGTGAACTGATCGCTAATTTACCTCCAGAAAGGTACTGTTCCACAGACGTGCCCTTATTTTCACTCTGGTCGAAATGTTCAGCATTTGTAGGGGACACTGGTAAACAACACAGTTGGCGTTCCCCAACTCACAGTCCTGTGGATAAACAACAACAACAACAAATAATAATAATAATCCTCGGGTTTTGATGCAGACGTCTCAAAGCGCTTCACGGGGTAGACTGTAAAGTGTAGTGACTCTGTGCGTTTTGCAGGCGAAACTCGGCAGCCAATTGCGCCCAACAACGTCCGCCACAAACAGTCGTGGATGGAGTCATGGTGGAAGGGGAGGGCAGGGGACCTGGTGCAGGCCGGAGCCCACCGAGCGGAGAGGTCAGTGTGGAGTTAGCAGGTCACAGAGGTTACAGAGGGTGGGGGCAGAGAGGCTGAAGGTCTGATGGTAGGATGACAGGAGAGAGGCTGCGTGGGGGGGGGCTTTGAACTGTATCCTCTTGGGGATGGGGAGCCAGTGGAGTCGGGCGAGGGCGAGAGGGTGACAGAGAGGGTGACAGAGAGGGTGACAGAGAGCCGCAGAGTTCCGATGGAGCCGGTCAGTGAAGCTCCATCACTGACCAATGTTATTCTCTTCCTGGAGTCTGTCTGATGAGCCAGTGAGGGTCTGGTCTCCGTGGCCTCTCCTTCCTCCTCACTCTCCACCTCCCTCTTCACCCGGGAATTCTGACTGAGTGTCTGCCAACAACAACAACAACAATTTACACAGCGAGAGAGAGAGAGAGAGAGGGGGAGAGACACACCCTCCCCTCCCCTCCCCTATCCCACCTACTCTCCTCCTCACCCCGTCTCCCTGCCCCCCACCTCTCCCTCTCTCCCTCCCCGCCCCCTCGTGTCCTCGCTGCCCCCTCACCAGCCCGAGAGGGTTGATGTCCTCGGTTTGTTTGCACTTGGTCCCGATGTCTCCCTCCAGCTCCACTTTCAAGGGATACAGCAGCCACTTCCCGTTGCTGATCTCATGCGGCCAATTGATGTTCAGGAAGGTGGAGCTCAGTGTTTTCAAGGCGTTGCCTGTGTTCAGGACCTACAGACGTCAACAACAACAACAAGTTACAGTTATACGGCGACTGCCTTTCACGTCGAGAGGACATTCCAAGGCGCTAGACAGTCAGGGCTTTGGACCCGAGCTGGGGGAGCGGGGTTTGGGATCAGGAGGGGTGGAGGGCAGAGAGGGTGGGGGTAGGAGGGTGACGAAAGGTGCTGTTGGTCGGAGAGGAGGGTCTTGAGACAGGCGTTGAAGGAAGCGAGGGAGGGGTGGAGGGAGGGAGGGAGGGAGGGAGGGATGGAGGAAGGTGGAGGGAATGTGGGATGGCGTTCCAGAGGGTGGGGGTAGTGAGGCTGAAGCCTGATGGTGGGGCTGGGATGGGCGAGGAGGCCGGAGCCTACTGAGCGGAGGGAGCGGACAGTTGGACACACCCGACACTTACCGTTAACTCATAGTCCACACTGCTCCCCACGTCCTCCTCCCTCTTCATGGCGCTCTCACCCACCACATGACCCCCAAAAAATACCTGGTGAGGGGTCACCGACCTGTCAAGCACACGAGAGCGCGAGCACGTTGAGTTCGAATCAATCAATCGATCGACCGATGAATTAATTGATCAATGAATCGATTAGAAGACCGGTAAGGTCCCGGGAGAGCTTGACAGTGGCAGAGTCTGACCGCGAGCCGGGGGGGGGGGGTGGGGGTGGGGAGAGGGAGAGGGAATGGGGGGGAGATGACCCTAAATACAGGAACTCATCAAGTCACTTATTACTTACCCAGACAGGGACAGTGGGAGCTCGATCACCACATGAGCCACAGCTGTGATCGGGTCTAAGCCGCTTTGCTCACTGATACTGTTAAGAAAAACAAAATCAAAATTACAATCAATAAATATCAGCATCGAGAAGCAATCAGAACATTTCTCCAATCATTGATTGATTGATTGATTAATTGATTGATTTCGGTCAATCGGGTGTGGGGGGGGGGGGGGGGGGGAGCCCAGAGTGTGCGTCGGGGGGTAACTGCTGGTGTCTAACCGGCTAAACCCACACAGAGCTCGGCCATCGACAGAGAGAGAGAGAGAGAGGGAGCGCTGTCTGGCCAAGCTTTCCCGCTGTTGTCCAGCGAGGACCACCCTCCCTGTTAGTTAGTTAGTTAGTTAGTTAGGGCTTTGGCTGCGGAGTTAACCGGAGCCGAGGGGGAGGATTCCTTGACCCCCCCCCACCCCCCACCCCCATTTTTGCAATAATTTAAAAGGTCAGTGTCTCAGCTGAATATTTCTTCATTGATTTACACCAGAAATATTATGGTGGGGAACAGAGAGAGAGAGAGTGACAGTCACTCACACACACACCACCACCACCAAGGGTTCACCCCCCCCCCCCCCAGCAGGCGGCGCTGTTGTGTCACATAAGACAATGCACAGTACAACACTGCCCCCTGGGGGCAGCACAACGGAGGTGAACACATAAAGGGTTATTATTATGGGGATAATAATAATAATAATAATAATAATAATAATAATAATAATAATCCTGGCCTTTGACCCGGCGCCTTATCACGTCTTCGACACGTCTCAAAGCGCCTCACGGGGTACGCTGTAAAGTGTAGTGACTGTGGGCGAAACGCGGCAGCCAATTGCGCCCCCGGCGCCGTCCCCCCAAACGGTCACTGGATTGCAGTGACCGATTTATCACTATTGGCATTGTTTTTGATGCAACGGTTGTCGGGATTAAGCGAGGACCACACTGAGGGGGTTTCGCTGACCGACTGACTCGCACTTACGTGGTGAGTTGCAGGATAACGGGGAGAGAGGTGGTTTCGATGGTGATTCCAGATGTACTTAAGATCAGGTAAAAGGTGACCTGTTGAACCAAAGGGCACACTGTAACAGCAACAAACAATAACATTCACACGGAGCCTTTCACCTCGCAAGGCGCTGGACAGTCAGGGATTTGGACCCGAGCTGCGGGGTTAGGATTAGGAGGGGGTGGAGGGCAGGGAGGGTGGGGGGGGGGGGGGGGTAGGAGGGTGACCGAAGGCGCGGTCGAAGAGGAAGGTCTTCGGCTGTGATTTCAAGACGGGCAAAGAGGGGACGAGGCGGAGGGGTTAAAGCAAGGAGAATAATAATAATATTAATAGTAATGATCGGTGCAACGGTAGCGGTGCGTTTCACGTTGGGAGGACGAGTCAAGGAGTTTGGGAGGATTTCACAATGAACTGTGGTGACTGTGTGTTTTGTGGGCAAACGAGCAATTTCTCTCAGACTCGAACCAAGACAATATGGTGGGTGGGGGGAGAGGTGGTGGGGGTGGCGTGGGGGGGTGGGGAGGTTTACTTGATATCCACCAATGTGATGGTCTTGACTGTAAAATGGGGGGGTGGGGGGCAACTGAATTGATTTCCTGATGGAGAGGACCCACCCACCCACCCCCTTCTCTTCCCGCCTCTCCCCTCCAGGAGCCGATTGGAGGGTGGGCAGCGGAGTGAACCAACGCCCCGACTTACTTACCCGCGCTCCCCGTTTCATCGGATTGCCCAGCTCGCAGGTGGCCTCGGAGCCGTTCTGATTGGCCACGCAAACCACCTGCTGTTCCTGCGGAGGAGAGAGGAGAGAAGATCACAAGGTCGGTTTGGACAACCAGCAAATATTGGGGGTGGGGGGGGGAGGCGTCCTCCTGACCTGACAACAACAACTTGCATTTATATCGCGTCCCCAGAGCGCTTGACAACGAGCGTCTGGGAGAGACAGAGAGAAACAGAGACAAGAGGAGGGAGAGGCAGTGTTCGTACTTCACGTCCCCTTGGGGAGGACAGGGCTCTGGGACGCTGCCCTGTGTGAGGGGCCGCAGTGTGTAAATAATAATATTATTATTATAATAATAATATTAATAATAATTTGGTCACTTCAACCCACCGCTATTTTGTGGGGGACGTGGCTGGGCGCGATTGGCCTCCACTATTCGCCCGCAAAACACACAGTCACTGCGCTTTTTGCAGCGGCTCCTGCGAAGCGCTTTGGGACGTCCCCGTTTGGGTGGGGGACCGGTACCTGAGGAGCACGGAAGGCAGAGAAGGAAAGTGAGTCGGGGAAACTGGCGATCAACATGGCTTCGTGTGCGTCGTCCCCGTCGCTGGACGGATCCCTGGGGTCTGAGGGCAGATTAGTGACCGTGATCTGCATAGCGATGTCCTTCTGGTCACTGAGGGTGAACAGCTGCCAGTCCTCACGGTGCTCATCCCTGTCACGGTGGAGGAGAAACACCAACGGGATTAACTCCCAGTAACACAGGACCTGCATCATCATCATCATCGTCGTCATCATCATATCATCACCATAATAATAACAATAATAACAATAATAATAATAATAAACAAGTAAACGCTAAACAAATCACAAATAGTAAATGATGTTATTAATAATAATTAATAATAATAATCATAATCCTGGAATTTGACCCGTCGCCTCACCACGTCTTCGAGACGTCTCAAAGCGCCTGACGGGATAGGCCGCAAAGTGTAGTGACTGTGTGTTTTGTGGGCACGAAACGCGGCAACCACAGCGACGTCCCCGCAAACAATGGTGGATTGAGTGACCACATTTTATTGGGGGGTGGGGGGGAGGGTTTGTTGGGCAGGACACTGAGAGAGAGAGAGAGAGAGAAAGAATAGCGCCGCGAGATCTTTAACGCGATGATATCAAATGCAAGGATTATTATCATCGCTATTATTATTATTTTGATGATGAACGGACGTACAGAGGTAACGGCTGGAAGCCTTGGTCCTCGATTCTTGTGCCGTAGCTGTAACTGAGCTGAAGGTTACTCTGACAGATCTTATCCTCTCCGCACCCTTGCCTCAGGAAATTCACCTGCAAGAAACCAACACAGCAACACGGGTCAGGCACGCGTGGGTCACACCCCATCGTGGGAGCGGACGGGGAGGGGGTTTGGGACTTTGCTGGGAGCAAGAATTCCCCGGTAGCGCAGAAGTTACAGCGATTCAGGGGTTTGATTCCCGGGCGGGAAAGGTCGGTGCGAATCCTTAGCCAAGTTTCCTTACTCCATACACACACACACACAGAGAGACACATACACACACCCGCGCACACACACCCCGACACACACACCCCGACACACACACAGACACATACACACACCCGCACACACACACGCACACACACACACCTACCAACAACACGCGCGACTCTGTTTACCAGCAGTAAGTAGGAACCTAATTGTTAGTCGATTGGCGGGTGCCTTTCCGGGGGTGGGGGGGGGGGATTGACCATCACTGTACCTTCGGTCACCCTCCTAACCCTAACCCTAACCCTGGCACCTCCCTACCTCTTGCTTACTCCCACTAACCCACTAACCCGCTGCCTCCCCCCGTGTGTGTGCAGGTGTGTGCGGGTGTGTGTATGTGTCTGGCTGTGCTCTTCTTGTTGGGATAAGGCGCTACGACAAAGGTAAGGATTATTAACCTACACACACGAGAGAGGTTGGGACACGACGGGTCAAGCCACCAGCAGGAGATGGTGGAAAGACGAACTAGATGGGCCTCGGGCTTTTTCTCCTCTGACAATTGCTTACGTTCTTACCTCGTTCAGAAGCACGTTTGACTCCTGGGCATTCAAGACGGGCATCAGGCTCGTCAGCTGCCTCGCAGCATGTTTCTTCTTCTTCCTCTTGACCTGTTTGATGGTGTAGGTCAGGGTCACAGGAATCGGCCTCAGTTTGTCTCTGATGTTCTCCTGCAAACAGCGAGAATCTGTCATCACACGCTCGGGGGAGCAGCTCATTGTCAGAGACTCCGTCTCAGACGTTACACCTCACTCCCTCCCCGTCTCCGCCCTGTTGAGGTGGACGTTAAAGATCTCCCCTCGGCCCTGGTCGTTTAAAAGTAGGGAGTTTCTCCCTCCCTCCCCCGGTTTGTCCTGGCTGACAAAATCCACCCAAATGTGACAGTCAGGGAATTGGACCCTAGCTGGAGTGGGGGGGGGGGTTGGGGGCGTGGGTGTTGGGATCGGGAGGGGGTGAGGGGCAGGGAGAGTGGGGGTAGGAGGGTGACCGAAGGAGCGGTCGAAGAGGAGGGGCTTGAGACGGGACTTGAAGGAGGCGAGGGATGGAGGGAGGGAGGGAGTGGAGTTGGGTGAGGCGAGGCGAAGGGACTGTGGGATGGAGTTCCAAAGGGCTGAGGTGCTGTATGAAAGATCATCATCATTATTATTATTTCGCCCACAAAATATAAATGAAATTCACTTTACAGTGTACCCCGCGAAGCCCTTTGAGACGTCTTGAAGACGTGATCAGGGGCTGTATCAAATGCCAGGATTATTATTATTAATATGATCATTAATTATGATGAATTATTATTATCGTAGCTCTATTATAATAACGCTGTCTCTACTTGACGACGCTGAGCTCGATTGCTGACCTGCAGTTTCATTTTGACGGACACACAGCTCTGTGTGTGTTGGCTCCTCAAATCGATCTCGCCCGAATACTGGTTGTCCAGGTCGTTTGGTTTCTTCTGCAGGAAATGGATGCGGGGCACGGCCCCTTGTCTCCTCCTCAACCCGTCTGCCTCAACCGTGTAGCCCAGCACTGAGAACAACAAGCACCGCAAATCGGTCCCTTCGACCCACGGCTGTTTGTGGGGACGTCGCCGGGCGCGATCGGCTGCCGCGTTTCGCCCGCAAAAGCACGCAGTCACTACGCTTTACAGTCTGTCGTGCGAAGCGCTTTGAGACGCCTCGAAGACGTGTCAAGGCGCTGCGTAAATGCGAGGCGCAGTGCTATTGTCGGAGGCGACGAGCTTACTGATAACTCGGTCACCTCCGACGGGAATTTAATGAACTTACCAATCCTGGCGTTGTAGTTCTCAGGCTTCGAACTGTAAGCGAAACAGGCCTGGATAATAATACTGGGAGAACAGAGAGAGGGACCGCACGTCAGCAACAAAACATCCGTTACGCACCGACAATAATCGGGATCTTTACGGGGGAAAGGTCAGGCTCTGAACCCAACAACCGCAATAGTTTGAAATCATCGCCCTCTCTTTCGAAGCCCTCCCTGCCCCCCACCCGCTCCTCCCGACCTCTGTCGCCTCACTAACTCCTCATACACCTGTCCGCTCAGCGGGCTCCGGCCTGCTCCACGTCCCACACCCCACCCCGCCCGCCCGCCCAGCCCACCCCACCATTAGCGGTCAGGCCTTCAGCCTCTCTGCCCCCATCCTCTGGGTCTCCACCCCAGTCCCTTTGCCTCACCCTCTCCCTCTCTCGCTTCCTTCAAAGCGCATCTCAAGACCCTCCTCTTCGACCGCACCTTTGATCACTCTCCTACCCCCACCCTCCTCGCCCTCCACCCCCCTCCTGATCCCAACCCCCAGCTCGGGCCCAAATCCCTGACTGTCCAGCGCCTTGGGACGTCCTAAATGTCCTGTCCAGTTGAGATTGACAGAGGCTCCTCACCAGATGCCTGATCTTCCTTTACAGTTTTCCTGTTCCAGGTCAATTTGTTGGGGACGGATGATGGCACTCTTCGTCACGTTTATGACCGGCCGGGCTCTTGGGAGAGAGAGAAAGAGAGAGAGGGGGAGAGGGAGGGAGAGAGAAAGAGAGAGAGAGAGGGGGAGAGGGAGGGAGAGAGAGAGAGAGAGAAAGCGTTCGCAGTTACAACAGAGTTAGCAACGATCGAGTTGTCTTAAATCTAAGTTTTCTTCCAAAATAAGGGGTTGGAATCAGGAGGTGGGGGGTGGGGTGGGGGGGCTGTGGGTGTCGGTGCCCGCAGGCACGGTTGAAGAGGAAGGTCTTCAGGCACAGCCTGAAGTGAGGAACGGAGGGAGTGAGGGAGGGTGAGTGGCAGAGGGATAGAGGGAGGAAGAGTCTCAAAGCGCTTCACGGTAAAATGAAGTGACTGTGGGTTTTGTGAGCCATGGAGTGGAATGGAACTCACTCACTCACTCGGCCCCACATTGTCATCCTGCCCGAAAACCTCGGCTTCTCCCAAACCCTCTCCTGGAGAGAGAGAGAGAGAGAGGGAGGGGGAGAGAGAGATGGAGGGGGAGAGAGAGACTTACCGGTATAGAACCACAGAGTCTGAGAGTGACCCCACAACCACATCTGGGTAGAAATTGTCATCCATGTCAAGTCCTCCAGCCACTGAGTATCCGAACCTAGTCACTCCAACAGCTTCTCCTTCCAACACCTGAAGGTACACAGGGTGGGGAGGTGGGGGAGGTGAGAGGGTTGTAGGGATGGGGAGGGTTAGGGTTAGCAGCTCAGGGGTTAGAGCCCTCGCCTCGCAACCGAGAGGAACCAGATTCGATTCCCGGGCGGGTCAGGTCAGGGCGAAACCTTAGGCAAGTTTCCTTACTCCCCCCACACACAGACACACACATACACACACACACACACGCCTGGGTTTACCAGCAGTAAACAGGAACCCGGTTGTTAGTCGATTGGCGGATCACTTTTCCGGGGAATAATCGCTCAACAAAAAACAAATTGGTCGCTCAACCCACGGCTGTTTGTGGGGACGTCGCTGGGCGCAATTGGCTGCCGCGTTTCGCCCACAAAACACGCAGTCACCACACTTTACAGTGGATCCCGAGAAGCGCTTTGAGACGTCTCGAAGACGTGATCAGGCGCTGTGTCAAATACCAGGATTATTATTATTATGATGATGATGATGTGACTGTAGTTAAAGGGTTGAGCTGTGGATACCTGAGCAGGTGTGACGTTCAGACCAAAGTTGTTGCCGTGATAGATGTAAACCTTCCCGTGGCCGTCGTAAGGAGCTCCCACAGCAATATCTTACACAAGAGAAACAAGACAAACCATAAGAACAACAACAACAAGAACAACAAGAGCACAGCACCCCCTCATGCAGGGCAGTGTCCCGGAGCGCTCGACACTGGCGGAGCAGGACACCGAGCCTGGGGTGGGGGGGGGGGGGGGGCGGAGGTCGAAGAGGAGGGTCTTCAGGCGAGACCGGAATGCAGGGAAGGAGGTGGGCGAGGCGGAGGGATTGAGGGATTGAGGGAGAGAGAGCGGCACAGTTTCGGGGGCTTATTGGCTGAAAGCGCTGGCAGCTTTGACCCATCAACAAAAAACATTTAGAAACCATCGCTCTATAGAGTGATATTGATAATAATAATAACAATAATAATAATTAATAATAATAATGACTGAAGACTTTCCCCTTTGTTGGTGCTTGTGGTCACCTCCCCTCCACCCCAACACGTCCACATTTATTTATTTTTTTTATACCTCCAAACCCATCTTGGTTGACGTCGCCAACACTGGCCACGGCCAAACCGAACAGGGAGTCCTTGGTTCCGTTCAGTCGGAGTCTCTTCACTCTGTCCCACCTGCCCCCCCGGTTGATGTACACATACACCGCTCCTCCGATCTCCTCCTTACGGTCGAAAAAGTAGGGCGCTCCGACGATGAGATCCGTCCAACTGTAAACCCAAAGGCCAAAGGCACCGCCTGAAGTTTAACGCAGTGATAATTTGGTCGCTCGATCCACGGCTGTTCGTGGGGACGTCGCTGGGCGCGATTGGCTGCTGCGTTTCGCCCGCAAATTGCAGTCACTCCACTTTCCCGTGAAGGGCTTTGAGACGTCGCGATGGGGCGCTGGGTCAAGTGCGAGGGTTACCGTGATGATTATGATACTCTTACCCGTCGCTGTTGAGATCAGCTGTAGCCACAGAGTAGCCGAACGATGATCCCAACTCCTCGCCCCACAGGATGTGTTCCGGAGCGAGTCTGTTGACACCCTCCTTCCTCAGTAGGACCACAGCCCCCGTGTGGTTAGCCCTGGGTGCCCCGGCCACCACACTCAGCCCCTGGTGTGTCAGACGGTCACCTGAATCTACAGAGAACCCTGAAAAGGCAGGTTAACATCCGAGGCTTAGAGAGAGAGAGAGAGAGAGAGCAAGGGGGTGGGGGGAAGGGAGAAGGGGAGAGGGGGAGAAAGTGGAGGTGAGAGGGGGTGGAGAGGAACGGGGGTGAAGGGAGAGAGGGAGAAGGAGAGAGCTGGAGAGGGAGGGGGAGAGGGGGGGGAGCGAGTGAGACGGGGAGAGCGAGAGAGAGAAGGGGAGAAGGAGTGGGAGAGAGGGGGAGAAAGAGCGTTTCGAAAGGGGGTGCAGAGAGACACACACAATGGCTTAGTAACCTCATGCGATTAGGTTGCAACCTTTTCTTCCGTTCAAGGAGAAAGTTTTTTTATTTTTTTGCGTTTACATTATATTTTAAATTCAATTCCATTTTTTTTCATTTGAAGTTTTTACAATTGGGGTCCGATTCCGCCCACTCCTCCGACTTCCCATTCAAGGCCTCGCGACGTCCTCCCGACGTGAAAGACGCTATAAAAATATAATTTGTTGTTGTTGTTGCTGTTGACATGGATTGCTGTCTCCACACTTTATTGAGATGCTTTTATTTAATCTGTTGGGTGTCGCCAAGAACCATCGCTGTGCTTAAGAGTATCCCAACCCTGAGCGAGTTGGAAAGGGTGGTGGGGGGGGGTTGTGGTGGGGGGGCAGGGGGTATGGGGGAAATTGGGGAAAGACAGAGAAAGGACTTCTTTTTTATTTACGTTAGTTGATTGGCGGATCGCTTTTCCGGGGGGTGGGGGGTAATGATCCCTTAAAAAAAATAATTTGGTCACTTCAACCCTGTGAGGACGCTGCTGTGCGCAACTGGGGGAGAGAGTGTATTCGCAGCGTCTTCTCTGAAGCGCTTTGAGACGTCTCAAAGACGTGGTAAGGTGCTGCATCGAGTGCAAAGATTATTATGATATTTATCAGTAATTGATAGGTTTCGGGGTGGGGGTGGGGGTAGGGGGATGGTTTCGACGATGAGAATTTAATTGACGGATTGGGAAATGAAGCTCATTTTGGTTCAAAAGTGGCAACACTGGTTATTACGGCTTCTCAAATGCCTCTCATTCACCCACAGACATCGCACCGCCTCAAAGCAGTGCTGTGCCTAAATCAGGGGAGACATTTGAGGAGACTGTACGGAAAGGTGTTAAGATTGGGTTAGTAACACGGGTAAGTGCTGTTTTTTTTTAAAAAAAGAAGGAAAACAGGACGAAGGGACACAGGGTTTAGAGCAGGTTATATATAGCGAGGTTTATCTGTCAGGCTGGCTCAGTCACTCAGTCACACCCTCATCTCCAAGTCGGTGAGTTGTGGGTTCAAGCCCCCAAGTCAGGAGTTTCAGCTCACACAGCGCAGTCCTGGGGATAGAGAGAGAGAGAGAGAGAGAGATCGCCGCATTGTTGGAGATGCCGTCCTTCGGTTGAGATCTTTATTAAACCTCACTCCCCCGCCCACCATCTGTGGACTTTAAAGATCTTTCCCACGACGCTCTCTCTCTCTCTCTCTCTCTCTCTCTCTCGCTGTCCTCTGTGGGTGGTCGTGAGATGTCGCTGTGCGCATAATTGGCTGCTGTGTTTCGCCCTCGAAATACACGGCCGCTGTGCTCGACAGTAAATATCCTGTGAAGCGCTTTGAGAGTGTCGGTCTCAACGACGTGACGAGGCGCTGTGTCAAATGCCGGGGTGGGTGGGGGGGGGGGTTATGATTTCTCCTGTCGGGGAACCTGCTCAGAGAAACTGCCCGTTAGCCTCGGGTGCGGAATCCGAAACAGGGCAGCGATGGCAACAAAGGGATCATTGGACTTCAGGTACAAAAATATTTAGATTGTGAATCGGGTTCGAGCCATTTGTGCTCACGCAGACAGTCAGGGCTGTGGACAAGTGCAAATAGCTTCTCAGCAACGCCAGCGTAGAAATGTCACAGAATCCTAGAATCTTACAGCACAGGAAGAGGCCAATCCGCCTATCGTGCCTCTTTGAAAGAGCCACCAACTAGTCCCACTCACTCCCCCGATGTTACCCCATATTGTTACACGCTTTTTCCTTTCCAAGTCTCCATCCAATTCCCTTTCGAAAGCTCCTATTGAATCTGCTCCCACCAGCCTTTCAGGCCGTGCGTTCCAGACCGTAACAACTCTCTGGTCTGCCCTCTGGTTCTTTTGCCAATTATCTTAAATCTGTGTCCTCTGGTTACCGACCCACCCGCCCGCCTGCCAGAGGAAACAGTTCCTCCCCCTCTCTACCCTATCAAAACGCCTCGATTAAATCTCCCCTTTCACCTTCTCTGCTCCGAGGAGAACAATCAGCCCCTCTAGTCTGGTCTCTGCACATACCTGAAGTCCCTCAACCCTGGTACCATTCTGTCCACGTTTGAAAAATGCCCATCTTGTTTTTCATGCGCAAGGACCAAGCCGCCTCCTCGCTTCCTCCCCTTTTTCTCCCCCCACCCTCCCCAGAAACATTGCCCTCCCGTCCCCCCACACACTCTCTCTCTCTCTCTCCCCCCCCACCCCCACCAAGCCCACACCGCCCCACCCCAGGCAAGATGATGAATTTAGCATAAGCTGCCATGAGTGTGAGAGAAGTTGACAGCGTGGGCTGGGAATGGGTTGTCAACCTTGAGGACAGAGACGGGGGTATGAGAGAGGACATTCCGTGCAGTTAACCAATCACCCAATCGATTGTTAACTAACCCAAACAGTTGCTTACGTGATGATGGTATTATGTTTGGTATGTGGTGAGTGAAGGGGAAGGCAGGTCATTGGAGTCGAGGTACAGATCAGCCATGATTTTATAGAATGACGGAACAGGCTTGAGGGGCTGAATGGTCTCCTCCTGTTCCTAAGTTTGCTCCGGAACATGTGGGTGCCAGACATTCATGGCTTCCAATACATCCGATGACCTTAGTGTGACTTTGCTGTGCGTTTAATGGCCTGGTGTGTTCCCCTACTCACTGACACTCTGCGGATCGCTTTGGGACGTCCTCCCGACGTGAAAGGGGCTGTAACGTTGTATATAGGGGAGACCAGACGAGGAGAATTAGTTGCTGTGTTTTTAACCCAAAGAGACTTGTTATGGTCTGGAATCGAAAGGCTGGTGGAAACAGATTCACTCGGAGCTTTCGAAAGGGAATTGGATAGGGACTTGGAAAGGAAAAATGTGCAACAATATGGGGTAAGAAAGTGCGGGGGAGTGAGTGGGACGAGATGGTAGCTCTTTCAAAGAGCCGGCACAGGGATGATTGGGTAAGAACGGGGGAGTGAGCGGGAATGACCTCCTTCTGCGCTGTAAGAGTCTCTGACTATTATTATAGTTTTCCTAATTCCTGTGGCTCTGCTAATTAATGTTTCTGGGTTGCTGGTGGATGGATGGAATGTGACTCACAGTTAATGGCTCAGGATAAAAGGTGGGGGTGGGGGGGAAATGGTGGGAGGTGGGGGGGGGGGGGGGGGTGTGTGGGGGGAGAAAAGGGAATGCACTCATCTTAAGCATAGCGGAAGGTGATGGGTGAGAAAATGTGGACCGGGAATGACATGGCAATTATCCGAGGCAACACGCATATATACATGCAACGGACATATCAGTCAGGCAATAACATGCTAGAGTCTTGCCACCCACATGCAGACAAGGATGCAACACAACACCGATCTACACGGGCAGGTGCCATGCGTCTGGGCGTTTCGAGCTGTGTTTCAGTCACGTTTCCGAAGAAACTAACCCCCAAATTGGCCTCTTGAAACACTTCCGTGAGCATTTCTCCCCCAAAACACGTGCTTTGCCCCCAGGAATCTAGTGTTCCAACTTTTGGCACCCGCCCAAGGTCAGAATCAAGCTGCGAATTAAATCGATTGTGAATTAAATTAGGAATTAAACTTCTTATGATTTAAGCACAGGTCAAATGTCACGGTGTGACCTTGAACCTTGACTTTCTCTGTGACTTATCCATTCCTCATGTCGGCCACCTTTTGTGATCCCTCCCATTCCCCCCGCCCATTACCCCCATCCTCTCCCGGCTCCACTGATTCCCCATCCCCCATCCTCGTCTTCAAAGCCATCCATGGCCTTGCTCCTTCCTAACTCCATAGTGACTCGTGGGGCTGAATGACTCGCTAACCCTCTATTGACCATTCAGTGGGCTCTGGCCTGCTCCACGTCCCCCGCCCGGCCTGCCCTACCCCACCAGCGGCGCTCTCTGCCCCCCACCCTTTGGCACTCCATCCCGCACTCCCTCCGCCTCACTCTCTCTCTTGCCTCCTTCAAGACCCATCTTGAGACCCTTCTCTTTACCTTATTCTATGAGATCGCGGCGGAGTGACTCCTAAGTGGATAGATATTCGTCAGGTCAGGGGATCGAGGGATACGGAGTTGAGATACAGATCAGCCATGGTCTAATAGAATGGCGGAGCAGACTCAAGGGGCTGAATGGCCTCCTCCTGTTCCTACGTCACTATGTTACTCAGGCGAAAACAACGAAAAAGACAAGCTGGAGAATTTTCACCCAGAGGGAGATTTCAAGCGACCAATTAATTTCAGGGGTGAATCTCTGGCACAAGGCCATGTGGGTGGCTTCAACGTAGCTCGATGCAATTGACATGCAGGGTAACGGCAGAGAGAGAGAGAGAGAGAGAGAGATGTCCTCTATTGGTCTCTGAGAGCCAGGGATGTGATGGAACCCCAGGAAATGAGCAAAGGCCAGAGGGGCGTTTGGTTTTTGTCTTTGTAATAAAACCGGGGGCAAAGTTCCAAGCAATGCACCAACATTCCTTTGGTATCTCCCAAGAGGCCTGGACTGGTAATTTGTTGGCTCAAAGGAGTCAATTGGGCAAAATCTGTTACAGACGTAAAGGTCCGTCCACACTCTTGTACCCTACGTCACTGCTTCCTGTGGGCTTCTCGCCCACTGTGTTGTTCCTCGGGGTCTTCTCTGAGACGTCTTGCCTTAAGGGTGAAGAGACCCCCCCCCACCTTGTCTGATCATTGACCACAGCCCATCCCTCTAACACTGACGATCAGCCTAGTTGCTCCCCTCTGCACTGCCCCCCAAGACCTTGGGCACAGCCTCAATCAGGCTATACCGTCAGCGCATGCATAAGTGCATCCACATTCACACGTACATCTACAGATGAACACCTTCTTTTCGGGACGGATTCAGTCTCAGGGGGGTTTTCACAAGAGCTCGCCCCCTCCTCACAAATCGCCTGAACACCCCCCCCCCCCCCCACAGAAAGCAGTGATGTTTACGCACATGGAACAATTCTGATGAAGTGTCCGGAATGTGGGACAGAATCACTGAGAACGGGGCGAGAATTGGGTGGGTGGGTGTTTCAGCGAGAGAATGAGAGAGAGAGAGAGAGAGAGAGAGGGGGGTGACGGGGGTTTGTACAGGGCGACCAAAGAGTTGTGATAACATGACAATATCTAACAAGTCTTAAAATAAAATTTAAATTATATATATATATATATATTATGCATCATCACATCTTTTAGGACTTATTAGACACTGTAAAGGTCTCACCACTTTTTTGGTTGCTCTGTGTGTGTTGTCGGGAGAAAATACCAGAGGGGAGGGGACACAAATAGACCCACATTCTGTTACCACATGCGCACGTGTTACGAACCTAAGTAACTATGTTGGGCTACGTCGAATGGGCTTCGAAGTGGTTTGTCGATGGGGTCTGGAGTCTTGTACACCAGCTGGTCTGGGTCAGAGCTATTGGTCGTGGTCAGAAACATTACCCCTGTGCGTTGCGGGGGGAAGGGGAGAGAGAGAGAGAGAGACAAGAGAGGAAGGACACCAGTCAGAATGGGGAACAAAACGAGACGGAGGAAAGGGGAACACAGAAAATAGCTGAGGGTTTCTGTTTGGCTTTTGTTTCGGGGGGGAGTGGGGAGGAGGGCGGAGGGGAGGATAATATTTTTCAACGAGGGTGACTTTGTCACTTACTGAAAAAGCCAATTGGGGTTGAAGGTCCCACACACTGCAGCTCAGAGGAGATCAGAAGCCAGACAAGCCCACAGGTGACCAAAGGCATCATCAGTGCACTCCCAATTAGGGACCCCGTTGCCAGTCGATGGGCGGATCGTTTTCTCCGGGGGTAATAATCCCTTCCCCCCGCAAAAAAATTAATTGAAAAAAAACTGATAATGATTTGGTCACTCGATCCACGACTGTTTGGGGGGGACGTCGCTGGGCGCAATTGGATGCCTCGTTTCACCCACAAAATACGCAGTCACTACACTTTTCACTGTAATCAAACCCTCAGCCGTCTCCGTGTCTCCACTCACCTTCCTCCATCTGCAGGGGAGGCTACGGGTTCCTACCTAAGTAGCTATGTGCGGGCACTGGAACCAGCTCAGCCTCCTGTCTCCTCTCATCTCCTGTCTCATATGGCCCATCATCATAAATGCCCAAGTGCACTGATGAATAACTGAGCTGTTCAGTCCGGATATTACCTAAAAATACCAAGGGTTAGAGGAACAACAAACGGTGTTGGTGGGGGATGGGGAGGGGGTGTTGGAGTGGGGTGGAGTGGAAGAAAAAGGAATTAGTTTTACCCCCCCCTGTTATTTCCCCGGCTCCTGGTTGTCCTTCGTGTCCTCTGCTCCACTATCAGTGGCCGTGCTTTCAGCCACTACGCCCCCGAAACTCTGTCACTCTCTCCTTCTGTCCCTCCGCCTTGCTCCGTCTTCCTTCCCCATCTTCAGATCGCGGCTGAAGACCTTCTTCTTCGACCGTGCATACAGTCACCTCCAACCTCCCCTCACTCGGTGTCCAACCAAACCCTCCCTCCCCACCCCACCATGCCCATACACACCCCCCTTTCTCCCTCCCGTGATGCTGTCCTCAATGGTGAAGTCACCTTCAGGTTTTTGCTCAAGAATATTCTGGGGTTTCACTAAACTACGTTCAAAATCTGGAAGCAAAATGGAAATTAGATTGTGGGCACCATTTTTGATGGTGGAGGGTTGGGAGGGTGGGCGGGGGGGGGTTAAGGAGGGGGTAGATTGACAGCATCCATCACCATCACTCTTACCAGCTATCACCAACCCCCACTTACCTTCCTCCATTTGGGTCCCTGAACTTCACTTTGGAGAGAGACCGAGAGAGAGAGAGACAGAGAGAGAGACACAGAGACAGACACAGAGAGAGAAAGAGAGAGAGACAGAGCGAGAAAAGAGAGAGGCAGAGAAGAGAGACTAAGGCAGAGAGACAGCGAGACAGAAAGAGGGATAGAATGAGGGAGAGAGAAAGACTTGACAGTGAATGTTGCGAAACTCTTTGAGGAGATCCTCCCAACGTGAAGAGCGCTGGGTCAAACGCAAGAGATGATTATGATCACTTTAAGAAGCAGAAGTCACTGACCTTTCCAATTGTACGTCCCAGGGGCTCCAAACAGGATGTAATGATTGTCGGAGGTGAAGCCGGCAGAGATGCCCTGCTGGCAATAGCCAAAACGCTCGTGTCCCTGAGTACGCCCTTCACAGAACTTCCAGTCTCCTCCGTCCAGCTCCTCCTTGATGGTTAAGTCCTGACTGAGGACGTAGCAACGACCGATCATATCCCTGGTCTCTGCTTGTTGATGGACACGTTGCCTGGACTCATACCGATGAGCACACGTCTGAGGAGAAGGAGCTCTCTCACATTACTCATCATCATCATAATAATAATCCTCACGTTTGACCCGGTGCCTCATCACGTCTTCGAGACGTCTCAAAGCGCTTCACAGGATGTACTGTGGGGGCCAAACGCAGCAGCCAATTGCACCCAGCAACGTCCCCACAAACAGCCGTGGATTGAAGTGACCAAATTATTATCATTATTTTTTAATTTCCTGTTGAGGGATTATTTATTTTCCCCCCGGAAATCGATCCGCCAATCGACTAACACCCGGGTTCCTACTTACTGCTGAGTTACCTTACTCCACGCGCCTCTGTTTACCTACAGCACTTGACAGTGGCAGAGCTTGACGCCAAGTCAGGGGTAGGGGGTGGGGAGGAGGTGACCATAAGCACTGTAGGTCGAAGAGGAAGGTCTTCAGGCGCGACCTGAAATGGGGAAGGAGGAGGCGAGGAGGAGGGATAGAGGGAGAGTGTTCCAGAGTTTCGGGGCGGAGTGGCTGTTCTGCTGAATAACACTTACCACCACCTTTCCACCAACTCCTTGGCTTTTGACTGTTACTCCCAGCCACTGGTTCTCTTTGCTCTCCTTGGTCAGGTCCACTGGAAGGGAAAAGGCATCAGACCGTATAAAACCGTCTGTGGTCAACTGTCACCCTATTAACTCGTCTTAGATTTTCTCCATAATGGCTTCCCTGCATCCTTGGGCCCACAGGTTTCGAGTCGCAAAGGGGCAGCACCTTCAGGACAGACACCAGGAAGTTTTCCCTTATGGAGTCCTGTAGCTCATTGGTTTAGAGCCTCGCCTCGCAAGTGAGAGCAACCGGGTTTGATTCCCAGGCGGGTCGGGGAGAAACCTCAGGCCAGTTGGACTGAATTTTGGGACACGACATGTCAAGCGTCTGCCAGGATGGACCTTGGTCTTTCTTTCTTTTAGAGAATTCTTATGTTCTAGGCCACTTTGGAGAGAAATTAGGAGGCAGTTTTTCACACAAAGGCTAATGGGAATCTGGAACTCTCTCTCCCTCTGTCTATCTCCCCAAAAGGCTATGGATTATATCTGGATCCATTCACATTAAGACTGAGGTGGAGAGATGTTTGTCAGGTAAGGGGATCGAGGAATATGGGGCAAAGGGGGGGGTAATTAGAGTTGAGGTACAGATAAGCCGTGATCTAACAGAATGGCGGAACAGACTCGAGGGGCTGAATGGCTTCCTCCTGTTCCTGTGTTTCTATGGATGGAAATTTTGCGGTAAATGAAATAGTCGAACCCTCATTGTCGATGTCGACTTGATCACATTTGTCATCCTCCGTAATGATGGGGCAGTTGAAGAGGCCGCCTGTTCGATTGGCCAACTGATGGGTCAATCCCTTAGCGAGAGGAGCTCCCACCAGGACACTGGAAACACACAGACCAATAAACACCTTTACATTAATAACAATAATTATAATAATACTCATAATAATAATAATCACAATAACAATCATAATCATAACAGCCACGAATGTTTTTGGGGACACTGCTGTGTGCGACTCGCTGCTGTGTTTCGCCTACAAAACACACAGTCACTACACTTTACAGTGTTTTCTGTGAAGCGCTTTGAAACATTGCAGCGACGTGATAAGGTGCTGTGTCAAATGCCAGGATATTTATTGCTATTATTATTTATTATAGAAGACAGGAAGCCTTCCGCCAGCTCGGAATCTGGTTCCGATCAGGAATTGGCTTATCTGGATAATAATAATCCTCGCATTTGACACAGTGCCTTATTATGTCTTCAAGACGTCTCAAAGCGCTTCACAGGATACGCATGTAAAGTGCAGTGACTGTATACCCTGTGGGCGAAACGCACCAGCCAATCGCACACAGCAGCGTCCCCACAAACAGCCGTGGGTTGAGTGACCAAATTATTCATGTTTATTTTTCTTGAGGGATTATTATCAGGGGTGTGTGTGTGTGTGGAGGAAGGAAACTCGCTAGAGGTTTCACCACTTGCCAGGAATCGGACCCTGGTCTCTCGCTCTAACCACTCCGATAACTGGAAAGAGAGCGGGAGGAAGAGCTCTGTGGCTCCTCGTGTCTAGAATTCCACACAGAGCTATTATGCGAGTGGTATTAGGCAGTTTAACTGTCCTTCGCTTCTGCGTTAGATCTTTCTGCCTTATTAGGGCAACTGGATGCCTTCAGTGTCGGAGCTGCTATTCACAGTGCATTCCTGCATCCAGGCTCCTTCAGACACACGCACACATATACACACACATACACACACTCGCTCGCTCACACACACACACACACACACACACTGACGCAAGCTTACACTCACTCACAGTCACACACACACTCTCATACACACTCGCACACAATTACACTGACACACACACACACACTCTCTCGTACATACTCTTACAAACGCGCGCGCACAAGTACACTAACTTATACACACACACACTTGACTCATTGGTCCGAATTGTTTTTTTCTCTCTCAATAAAACACTATATATATATATACACAAACACAACACTTCTGTGAAGCGCTTTGAGACGCGTTGAGATGATGATGACGATGGACTAGATTTTTGGAATTCCGAAATGATTTCTCTTCCGCTCCTGATTAACCGCTGATAAACCCTCCGCACCTGGACCGGGGGAGGTGGTGGGTGGGGGGGAGGGAGGGGGGAGGGTTGTGGGGGTGGGGGAAGGGGATGGGGTGTCAGCTGTTCTCTCAGATCACAGAGCCATCCTCTGGGTCGAAGGCATTTCACGGTAGTTTTAGTAACTCTGCATTTTTCGAATGGTTGAAATGTCTCAAATTAGTTTGTTTGGCACCCACACCCCACCCCCCCCACCCCGTCCCCTTTGCCTCCTCCCCTCCTCTCCCCTCTCCCTGCATTCTTCTTTCCCAGCGTAGTGTAGTGACTGTGTGTTTCGTAGGTGAACTCAGCAGCCAGTTTGCACACAGCGACGTCCCACAAACAGCCATGAGCTGAGCGACCGATTTTATCTGGTGGGAGGGACTGTCGACCAGGACATCAAATAGACCACTGCGGTGGGAGGGGTGGAGACAGATCAATGGAGGACACCTGAGATCATGAGAAACAGGAGATCGCACCTTCAAAGACGGGGAACAAGAGTGAGTCATTGCAATGGTTGGGAGGGGGGGGCGCGGGGGGGTATAAAGGGGTGAGATATTGGGAAATTGGACCACAATTCACTAAGTAATAGAAAGGTTATGTAAATTGATATCACCACTTAGCAGCAATCGACAGCTGTGTGGAGTCAGTAATGTTCCCGATTGACGGCCACAAAGATTAGCAGATCGGAAGCCATGACATCACCATTATTGTTGTTGCTTATCTCTTCACTTGACAGAATAATAATAATAATAATAATAATAATAACAATAATGACAATAATAGTCAGAACGATCTTTCCGTTTGGGCGGAACGCGGCAGCCAATTTTGCGCACACAAAGTGGGTGACGTGGGGAGAAGGAAGGCAAGGGAGTGGGCGAGAGAGCGAAACGAAAGAGAAATGAAGAGTAACTTGAGAAAGTATGCGTTGGCCTGAGTGAGGCCGAGCCCAGCCTCCCAACGAGCATTCCTGGAGTCAGAGAGAGAGAGAGAGAGAGAGATGCACAAACAACACCCACTCGCGCACTCACACACAAACAAAAGCAGCTGTTGTCAGCCCAGCTATCGCCTGTCTCAAAGCTGACACCCGCAACACCAGGGGGAAAAGAAAATACTGAACTAAAAACCTTTATCGGGTGTCATTTATCACAATAATAGCCCTTGCATTTGACCAGGCGACTCATCACGCATCAGAGACGTCTCAAAGGGCTTCACGGGATAGACTGTCACGTGAATTGACCGTGCGTTTTGTGGACAACATATACTTATGCTTGAGACGCACGGCCGTTTGAGGGATGTTGCTGTGCGCAAATTGGCTGCGGCGTTGGTCTATAAAACAACCCGGTTATTAATAATTGGCATCAGTGACCTTCATACATTGGAGTCAGAGAGAGAGAGAGAGAGAGCAGGTTAATCATTACCCTGGATGCCGTCTGACCAGCCTTCACACAAACATGAGGCTGAGGGAACAAAGAAAATTTGCACTTGATGTGGACTCAACTCACAGAAGAAAGTGCGCTTGATGTGGTTCTCACTCCCCACCCGACCAACACCAACCCCTGCTTGTGGGGACGTCGCTGGGCACAACTGTTTCGCCCACAAAATTCACAGGCACTGCCCTTTACATACAGCGTGTCCCGTGAAGCGCTTTGAGACGTCTCGACGACGTGATAAGGCGTTGGTTCAAATGCAAAGATTATATTATAATGTTAGCTGAACAGGGCACAGACAGAGGGGGGGGGGGTGAGGTTTCTGAGTGTTTCATCTGAAAGGCGAGAGTGTACCCACCGAGCTTTGCGTTAACAAAGATAGTTGGTTGAGTTTGATGCATTCTTGCCTATAACCCTAGCACACTGGAGTCACAGTTGAGGCTGGATTCCTCGCTGCATTCCTCTCGCCAGCCTCAGCTGTCAGCTTCCGAGATTTCCTGTCATTGAAGTGGAAGATAATAGGGCTTCCTTCACACCGGGGTCTGGGCTGGAAGACACCGGGTCATAGCGCCCTACCCAGCGAGCACACACTCGCATCAGAAAGTCAGAGCGTTGGGGAAGGGTCAGAATTTGTCGTCGTCTTATTGTTAATAATATTATTGATAATAATAATAATAATTCTTGCTTTTGATACAGCGCCTGATCACGTCTTCGAGGCGTCTCAAAGCGCTTCACAGGACACACCGTAAAGTGAATTGACCGTGTACTTTGTGGGCGAAAGGCGGCAGCCAATTGCGCGCAGCAGCGTCCCCCACAAACAGAAGTGGATTGAAGTGACCAATTATTATAATTTTTTATATTTTGAGGCGGAGGGGCGGGGGTGTGTGTGGGGTGTGTGTGGGTGGGTGTGGGGTGTGTGTGGGTGGGGTGTGGGTGGGTGTGGGTGTGAAGTAAGGAAACTTGCCTAAACTTTCGCCTGACCGGACGGGAATCGAACCCGGGTCCCTGTGGCTTGCGAAGCCACAGCAATGCCGGTTCAGCCTTGTTTAAAACCAAATCTCTTTGCCATCACAGGCAGATCCAGGGAGTGTGTGTGTGGGGGGGGGAGTGGGGAGAGGAGGGGGAGGATTACAGGTTAGAGATCACTTCTCTTCCATTACAACGCAATTTGTCCAGCAGCTGTTCCCACATTTCTCCGCTATTGTGAATTATTTATGAGAATGTCAGCTTTCACAGGGGAGAGAGAGAGAGAGAGAGAGTCAGCTGTGTGTGTGTGTGTGTGTGTGTGTGTGTGCGCAGAGAACATCAGTCACTGGCAACAGCCTGCACTGACACAGCGACTTTCACTTCGGGAGGACGTCCAAAGGCGCTGGCCAGTGCGAGCTGGGGGTTGGGATCAGGAGGGAGGAGGTGCGGAGGTGAGGGGAGGGAGACCGAAGGCACCGTTTGTCGAAGAGGAGGGTCTTGAGATGGACCTTGAAGGAGGCGAGGGAAGAGGTGGAGGGGGTCGGGATGTAATTCCAGAGGGCAGGGGCAGAGGGGCTGAAGGCCCACCTGTTGATGGTTTTATCTGCCTGTCCTTGTCCTGAAAGACGCCTTGTGTGGCGGGTGATCGCGTTTGCTCAATTATCTTTCATTGATCAGGTAGCTGCACATCGTGCTGGCCATCTAATGGATGTTATTGCTGGCGTCCCCCAGTATTGGAGGTAGATGAGGACACATGAGAGCTGGTCAGCAACAGCAACTCAAGCCCCAGCAGATACCTGGCGTTTGTGGGTCCTGAAGCATATTGGTTACAGCCCTCGCCGCGCAAGCCAGAGGACCCGGGTTGGATTCCCGGGTGGGTCAGGTCAGGGCGAAACCTTAGGCAGGTCTCCCTACTCCACCCATCCACCCACACCCCAATCACCCACCCACCCACACCGCCTCTGTTTACCAGCAGTAAGTAGGGGGCAATAAACCCTTCAAAAAAATTGGGTCACTCAATCCACGACTGTTTGTGGGACGTCGCTGGGCGCAATCGGCTGTGGAGTTTTGCCCATAAAGCGCTGTGCGTCCTGCGAAGCGCTTTGGGACGTCTCAACGACACGAAGAGGCGATGTATCAAATGCGAGGATTATTATTGTTTCATTAGTTCTGCGAGTTTTCCTAAAGCAGCAAAAGCCAGCGACGTGAGGAGCAAACAGAAACCGCGGGTCCCTCAGAAATGCCATGAATTTTAAACAAGACTAATTGGAAATTCCGCCGACTCCCACGAGGACAGAGAGTGAGAGAGATTGTCGCAGGGAATCAAAACAGGTGTATTGACTTCCCTTAACAAACAGAAGGCTTTCTCTCC